CGAAAGAACACAGCAACGGCAACAACCCTAACCAACATTGCCAGCTGACAATCATGGCAACAACGGCAAGGGCAAGAGGAACAGTAGCAACAGCCAAACAACGGCAATAGCTCCCGCGCCAACACCGAAAGAACACTCATGTTGCAACCCACACGAACGACATGTTCACCACCACCGTACTCACTATGACACTATGACCCTTACCATGACCGAAGTCGAAACCGTATAATCATCACAACGACGAACCCCGCAGCTACATGACCAGCAACAACTCAAGGACAGTGCAGAATGAGCAAAAGGATCTTCTGCAAAAATCACAACAGCAACAGCAGCAGCAGCAGCAACAACAACAACAACAGCAGCAACAACGGTAACAACAACAACAACGACGACGACAGCAACTACGGAAACGACAGCACCGACCGCAGAGGCGGCATCAACAGCACCAGCATGTTAACCATTCCATTCGCAATAACGATAAATTGAGCGTAACACTAACACCAACATGGACGTCAACAACACTCAACCTTGGCATTAACAATCACACTAGCATGAAGCATTAGTACGAACGACAATATTAACATTGACATTAACCGGCATTTCTAACAAGATTGGTGTTAACGTTGACACTAACATTAACACTAGCATTAACTAAAACCTTAGAACTGAAAATGAAAAGCAACACTAACGTTACGACAAAACTGCTGTTAACATTAGCCGTGTGTGCAACGTTAACATTAACCCAAACTTAAATGAGAACATTGGCGTTGACATTAACATTACCATTCAGGATATAGTTAGCATTTATCGAAAATACCTTTGCCCATGATATTACCTCTAGCATTAGCAGTAGCATTAACATGAATATCACCGTCAACAGCAAAGGGTAAAGGTTTTCGTTTTCGGTGTCCGTGGGCGTGGCCGTGGGGCCGCGGGCTGGGGGCCGCGTGGCCGCGTAGCCATCACCAAAGGAGCGGGCCTGTTTAAGATGTATGATGAACCGGGATCGTCAGACGAGGGGCGTGCTTAAGATGTATGATGAACCGCAATCGCCAAGGAAGGGGGGGTGTTTACGATATATGTTGAAGCCGGATCGCCAAAGGACGGGGCATGTTTGAGATAGATGATGAACCGGAATTGCCGCAGGACGGGGCGCATTTAAGATGTATGATGACCCACAATCGCCAAGTGAGGGGGGTGTTTATGATATATGATGAAGCCAAAGGACGGGGCCGTGCTTAAGATAGATGATGAACCGGAATTGCCGAAGGACGGGGCGCATTGAAGATTTATGATAAACCGCAATCGCCAAGTGAGGGGGGTGTTTATGATATATGATGAAGCCGGATCGCCAAAGGACGGCGCGAGTTTAAGATAGATGATGAACCGGAATTGCCGAAGGACGGGGCGCATTGAAGATTTATGATGAACCGCAATCGCCAAGTGAGGGGGGGTGTTTATGATATATGATCAAGCCGGATCGCCAAAGGACGGCGCGAGTTTAAGATAGATGATGAACCGGAATCGCCAAATGAAAGGGGCATGTTTAAGATATATGATGAACCGGACTCGACAAAGGAGGGGGCGTGTCGAAGATAGATGATGAGGCGGAATTGCCGAATGAGGGAGCGTGTTCAAAATGTATGATGAACCGCGGGCCGTTTGGCCGAGTGGCCGCGGGCCGCGCGTAAATAATACTATTATACTATTGATTACTACTGTGCCAGCAAAGGCACCAGCACCACCACCACCACGAGCAACAGCTGCAACAGCTGCAGCAACGACTGCAAACAGCAGTAAAGGAAGCAGAAGAAGCAGCAGTACGCTACTTTTTGGCAGCCAAGAGCACGACGTACGGGCTACCGGAAGGACGGGTGCACATCACTGGTCCAGAAGCCGGTGGGACCAAGCCGATCGGCGCACCTTCGCTGCAGTCATCGGCCGCACGTTTGTCGTCCACGCAGCGGACCCTTGCTTGGGCGGGGGGATGTGCTCCCGACGCGAACGTTGCAGAGGACCGTCTTGTATCCCGAATGTGGCAGGAAACCCAAAGTGAGGACGTGCCGGGGTATCAGCACCCATCGCATGTTGCAGGCCCCGACATTGCCGAACCACCGACTACCGCTTGCAAGGCAGGACGGCTACCGCCTGCAGCAGGCATTGCATTGGTACGGAAGCCCTGCTCTCATGTACGGCTGCGGTCGGGCCGGCTCATCGACTGCCATCGCCGTGGGCGAGGTGCTCGAAGCCGACGCACAGGAAATGGTGGCAACGCTGCAGAAAGGAAGGCCAAGGACAGCTGAAAAAGCTCGAAAGACGACGACACCAACAGCGTGGCGAAAGAGACGACGACAGTTAAAACAATATCAATGAGGGAGTCAATAGCAAGGCCCTATAAGTGAAGTCGAGTCACGCGAGCTGCCATGCCAATCTCGTTCCACGGACCCCACTGCACCGAAATGGCCGGCTGGTTCCGCCCAATGCGATAGGCAGCAAAGGAGTCCATGAAAGCATTTGCAGCGCAGTAGTTGCCCTGGCCAACCGCACCAAGCAATGCAGCAACGGAGGAGAAAAGCACAAAGTGGGTCAGTTGCGTCTCTCCCTTGCTGGTACAGTTGTGCAAGTTCAAGGTGCCCGCGATCTTGGGAAGCAGAACCCTCTCCAAACTCTCTCTTGTCAAGTCAGAGATGAGGTGGTCGTCCAAAATGCCTGCAGCATGCCAGACACCCTTGATGGCTGCCATGGTCTGCTCCGCTTGCTGCAGGACTTGACTTACATCCTCTTCACTGCCGATGTCTCCCTTCAGAAGTTGCACTTGCGACAGGCTGGATGCTTTGTCCAGCAGCTTCAACAGCGAAGCATCCTGGATGCGTCCGGAGCGCGACATCATGGCAAGATGCTGGACTCCGTGCTCGGCAAGCCACCCAGCAAAGAGTAGGCCAAGACTGCCCGTTCCACCACTTAGTAAATGACAGCTGCCGGCCTCAAAGGCCACAGCTTGCTTCTCTGGAGTGCCAGCATCCACCAGACGAGGGCCTCGGTGTTCGTCTGACTTGCAAGACTAAGCTGCGCGCTTCTCAGGCCAGGTTATGGCTGTAATGGCAATGGTACAGGAACCTTAGCCTCAGGCCCCACAGCTGCAAACCTTCTGCACCCGGTCTCGACACCATCTCCGACTCCACACCAGGTGAGGCGAGCAGAGCGCTTGTCGCCTGCCAAGTCCGTCAACCACATGCCAGAAGAGGGACGATCATTGCACAAAACGAGAACAACCATGAAGGAGAGTCTTGAAGTCTGCGCAGCCTGCAAGAGTTGGTCTGGAGCCGCGACATCCAAGCAAATGACTTTCAGGTCCGGCCGCTCTGCGCGCAAAGCACGACACAAACCCCAGATGCCAGCGTGGACCGGAACGTCGTTGATGTCATTCCGTTGCATGGCAACGGCTCGACAAGTGAGGAACCTTCGGTGCTGAAAGCTGCAGATGCCAATAAGATGACGTGCATCATCATGCATCTCTTGCAAGCCAAGAAGCCACAGCTCCGGCGATTGAGAGCCAGGAGGCATCTTGACCAAGGCCTTTCAAACTCACAACAATCCGCAAGAGCAAATGGGAGTGCACTCGTGCGCGCTTGGCGAAGTCTTCCTTGAATCGCTGCGCGGTGCTCTGGCTCTTACTGCCCACCTTCATGAGGCGAAGTGCATGGCACAGGCCACTGTTGGCGTCTTCTTTGGACAGGCCGACGGCACTGATGATTCGGGTCAGGTCAGACAGGTCACTCTCTTCCAGGGCTTCCAGAGCTTCATCTGAAGTTTCCGAACACTGCACCCCAGGAAGCTGCGAGAGGATCACGCCTTCCTGGCAAAAGCAAGCCAACCCATAAATGCTGGTCAAACTCGCATGCCAGAATGGATTCAAAACAGGTGTTAGCATGACACTGCTAACCTTCGAAGAAGTCCTTGGAAGCTGCAAGAACCAGGCATCTGCTGTGGCTCCCATCATCCTGTGCCTTGGGCATAACATTGGGGAGCTCAGTCCAGTGCACCTGCCAGGCAGATGTCTGCTTAGCGGCAATGCACTGCACCTCTATCATACAGAGAGCCTCGTATATCTTCTGGTCATCATCTGCCAATTGGCTCTCCATGGCTTTCTTGATCTGCGCTCGCGTGACCTGAGTGCTGCCATGTCTCCTGATTCCGTCCTGTGGGCCACTATCAAGCAACAAGAGCAGGCCTTTCGAAAGGCCACGTCAGTGCCCTTGAGCAGGACTTCTCCGTCGCTTGCTGCCACCGTGGAGTCAAAGACCTCACCGTCAAAGAATGCCATGAACGGCAGCAGTAGACAAAACAAGCACCTGCTCCTGCTCAGAGGATGTTTTGAGATCCAAATGCACGAAGTATTGCCTCAGCTCACTTCTAGTGGCGCCCTCACATTGGCATCAACTTCAGGCTGGGCCACTCATCTCTGGAGAAGTCTCGGTGGACGTGTGCCTGACAACGTGCTTGCGAAAGAGCAAGATGGCGCCCTCAGGATGCAGTCAGGCCGAGCCTGCACTCGACCCATGCCTGAAAAGATCTTGAGAGGTGCATCCGAACCGATCATTGTGGCTCCCAGAGCATGGATGGTACCTGGACTTGGCAACTTGGAACCACTGGCCGGCACAAAGTTAAGCATTCCCAAAGGCATGACGCACTCACACTGTTGAGTCTAAGGTCGCAGCCATCAAGTGTGGCAGGATACACGATGAACCCCAGATTCGGTTGTGACCTACAAAGAACACAGTTGCAAGACAATGAACCGGAAGAGTCTTCCAGGTGATGCTTGGCTCCCAGCTCTGGTGAGTTCTCCAAGCGGCAAAGCAAGTGTTGGTCACCACCTGTTCTTGTAAATACAGGGACGGCTTTGTTGCCACTCTGCATCTGAGAAGACTCCAAGCACTTCGAGTGACACCTGCCTTCCCATGATGGTCCCAACGGCACTCTTCGTATGTCTTTGCAAACCTTCATGGATGGTTCCAGGGACTTCTTGTTATACAGGCCGGGGCCTGGTTCGTGAATGTTAGATCAGATCCAGCCTGAAAGCGGGGCCCGAGCCAGAGACCAGCCTTTTGGATAGCTTCGTACATGTCCTGCGCATGTGACGCTGCAAGGGAACCGCAGGCCAGGGTACATCATCAACAAGCCTTCGGGTCAATCTCTTCCGAGCACCTGTGCCGCAACTCCTGATCAACAAAGCTGCATGAGAAGCACTCCGCACGATCGGCATTGTCTACCAGTGCCCAATGCTCTCCTCCAAGTCAAGTGTGCTTGGCTCTGCCAGGCCACGGCCAAGCCGCCCTTCACAATGGGTCATCATCTCTGTGCTCTCCCCACGAACACTGCGCATCTCGAACTTGTCACCCATCCTTGGAAGCAGCAGACTCTGACCAGGTGTGCATGAACAAACAAGCCTCTTAGCCAATTCAATGACGCGACATAATCGACCAAACATCACTTTGCCATCGGGTGACTGACAAAAGCGCAGGAAGACTGCAAGTGCCGTTGGCTCATCTGTATGCTTTGGAATGATGAGGGGCCAAGTCATTGCCTTGTCGGGTCTCACAGTGAGCTCGACTCTTGCTCGCTGCCGCAAGCCGAGACAGCGACCAGATCCTCTAGATATCCGTCACTGCCGATAACTGTTTTCATAGCCTGCGACAGCCACAGCTCCGTACAAACTCATGCGAACAGCACGGGGGGCCTCCATTGCATGCTCCACATAAACCACTCCTGAACACAAGGTGAGTGTGGATCCAGAGACACCACCCGTGCCACGGGCAAGACATAAAGGCTCCAGGCTCCTGGTACGACGATCTGGTTGAAAACCACATGCTCCGCACAAACCTTGAACAGGTCCTGGGATGAAATGTCCAACTTTTGCGCAGGTCTGGAGACAACTCGCAAGCATGGTTCTTCGCAGCCAAGCCAAGGTACTGCCTTGATGGCACACTCATATTGAACTGTGCTACCATCTGCAATCTTCCGTCGTAGGCAACGATAGGAGGTCTTGCACCAAGGGAAGGAGGCATGCCTGCCACATCTTACAGGGTTCTCCGAGCTTTATGAACCGACGGGTAGCCAGCCCACAAGTAGCCGCTGATCTAAGCAAAGAGAAATTGCAGCAAACTGAACATCGCACCTGAATGTGATGGAACTGGCTGTCTGATCACTGTCTCGCCCGGTGCTGCAACAGGTAACGTGCGCATTTGTGCCACCAAATCCAAACGAGGAGAGGCCTTCCATGAGACCCAAGCAACAGGGCTGGAGAGTTGCATGTCAAGAAATCAAGACTTTAAGGCCAAATGTCTCTACCAGCTCCAGAATTAAGGCGATACATGGAATCAGCTAGTACTCTGTGCCAGGCGAAGTCTCCAGCCTGGCCTGAGACAACAGCTCCCCCAGGCAGCCGGTACAGCTCCAAAGGAATCTGAGCCTGACCAGCTGAGCAGCTCACATCGGTTCACCGCATGGTGAACTGAGATTCGTCTGCGCAGCATGACATGAGAGATCGGCCTGGAAGTCCTCCAGGTCGATATGGGGGTTCAAGCTTTGGAAGTGTAGGTTAGATGGAACCTGCCTTTTCTCCAACATGTGGACACTTTTGAGGAGACCAGCAATACCTGCAGAACCTTCCAGGTGCCTTAGTTAAAGCCATTGCATGAACGTCCGCAAGGTCAGGACGAAACCGGGTAACAACTCTCTGAGGTTTGAGATGAGATACGCAATGTTAGTCTTGGCGGCCCCAAGGGCTACAGGGGAGTCGTTGCCCAGCACAGTCTTGAGGGCATCCACTTCAATAGGATCCCCAAGGGCAGTGCCAGTGCCATGGCATTCCACAAGAGACACCTCGCTGGGCCTGGCCGAAGCCTCCGAAAGTGCACCTCGCACAGCTACCTGCTGGCATGGGCCGTTGGGCGCTGTCAGTGATGCAGAACGTCCGTCCTGGTTAACCGCAGTGCCCCGGATCAAGGCTCTGGCTGCAGAAGGCCCCACTGGCCCCCTGCTAGTCTCCTCATCTGCCATACATAAGAAAATGCATCCAACACCTTCTCCGCGAGCAAAACCATTTGCTGACTTGTCAAAGGTGAAACAGCGGCCATGCTTCGAAAGCATCTTCGCCTGGCAGGGATGAACTGTGAACCCTTAATGCACCTTGCGGGCCTGTCAGGGTACAGATGTTCTGAAGCCCATGCCTGGCTAAAGGCAATGTAAGGAGCAGGGCCAAGAATGAGATTCGTTCCAGCAGCCAATGCTCCCTCTGCAGTTCTGCGACGTAGAGAAGACAGCGCCTCAGTTGAGTGCGAGCAGAAGTGTGATCGTGGCAATATATTCATGGAGCCAGGCACAAAATCAAGCAGAACCATTCATCATCATGCATCCGTGAAGCTGCATCGGCAGCCACCAGGGAAGACGAACAGGCAGTGTCGCATGTCAGACTTCGTCCCTTCAGTCCAAAAACGTACCTTGATCAAGCAACGAAGATTGACAGCTAACCTGATGCCAAAGACAGCTGCTATCGATGGAGCAAGCTAAATGCAGCGAATTAGCGAAATGCGGTTTGCACTGATTGAAGCTGACATACCCGTGCCAGTGTATGGGTTGAACTGGTCTCCGGCTGAAATCATCACGAACCAGTCCTGTGCATCGTTTGGAGATTTTCGGGCGGGCGTTCATCAGCCTAGTGGGAGTTGCTACTGTCATCGGGATCATCTTAATGCTCCAGCGACTCCAGCAGCAAATGTCTAAGACAATCTGCTTGGAGTAGCTTTCCACACTTTGGCTGGGCTTGCAATTTCAGATGGCTGCAAAGCTCAGCAGCCTGCGTCAGAATTGTTTTAGTCCGCAGGCGAATTTCCAGCTGTAGCAAGCTGCGGATGCCACCGCCATGGTTTGTCACATGCCACCACTACCTACCATGGGAACCACCAGCCCCAGGCCCCCCCCCACCCCCCAGACCCCAACTGCCCCCGATAAGAGCCCCATCACCACCCGTACTACCGTGGGGGCAGCACTACCGCTGCACGGGCAGTCACCACCATTAAAGTACAACACCAAAGGACCAAGAAAAGCACCCGGGTCTGCCCGCATCACACACCTCTGCAGCAACGCTGGTCTCGCACGGTTTAGAACGTGAGTTGGGCACGGATGGCACGGTCACAGATCAGCCGAATCCAACCCGGGCTCTTTCCAGTCGATGAGGGTTAGGCCGGCCTCTTGGCTTCAGGCTCCGCTGTAGTGCAGACTGGGCTACACAGAATCTGGACACAACGGCAAACGATGATCCAGCCATCGCAAGGATTCACATTCTGGTGCGGGCGTCTTGAGACGCTAGGTTCTTACTTGGTAGGGGCCTTTGATAGCTCCAAGGCGTTCCACCCGCCAGTCTTCCAAAGTGGTCTTCGTTCGAGTGATGAGCTTCTTGCGTAATCCTGTGCCCCTGTGCTGCTCCCTCTTCCAGTTTGCCTGATGAGGGGAGGGGATACATGCTTCGGTTGCCGATTCCTGGAAACTGCAGATACGGAGACCCTTCGTGCAAAACCTGAGCCCCTCAGCTCTCAACCTAACATTGTTACATGAAGCTTCTGAATGAAACTTCTATGGTCACTGCAGCTCAGAGAGGCCTCCCTGCTTACACAACTCGACTGCACCTCAAGAAAAATCACAGGTTTGCAATGTTTGTGACCCCAGTCATATTGGCATTGGCCCACGAAGACCCCAACGCAGGACTCCATGAGCTGCTCGGGCTCACGTCCGGCAGACTGGAAGGCCGTCTGTGCTGCCTCGAGCAAGAGGCGCTGCTGCGGGTCTATGGCTGCAGCCTCTGCCATCGAGAGGGCGAAAATAGAGGGATCGAATAGCTCGGCACCTTGGCAAGTCTGACATCTTGTGAAATCTGGGCCTTCATCTGGTCTAGCTTTGATCATCTTGAGTGCCAACTACAGGTTGCATGCAGAGGGGCACACGGGTCCGACAGAAGGGGGTATGGCTCGGTATGGCGTACGGATGTCACGATGTACTGGAACGATGCCATACTACATCGCCATTAGCATGCCTAACGCTGCAGAGCTGATCTGAAGTGCGAAGCCGAACCCGAACTGTCTGATCTCAGGGTCCTAAGGGCTGCTGGCAAAGGCAAGACTGCAAATCAGCTTCTTCAATTGATCAAGGTACCTTCGATGAAGCCACCATGCTGGGCATACGTCTTTCCAGGAGCTTCTGTGTCTGAGCTGTAGTAAACATCGTGCTCCCAACGGGCAAATGGGACCTCAATGACGGAATCTTTCTTTTGCAACAAGTCCTCCCAGAAGCCATCGTCACGGCGGCCCGGCAAAGTGGCTGCCAGGCCCTTAACGGAAGCAGACGCACCCGAGTCCAATGATCTTCCGGCAGTCTCCAACATGGAATCGGCTACCGGACCCAATTGGGCCACAGCAAAATTACTAATTGCCGCGACCGTGGGGTAGTCAAAGATCAACGTGTTTGGCAACTTGACTCCCTGGAGCTCGTTGGACAAACGATTAATTCAACAGCCTCGGCTGGGCACGCACAGATCAGCCTTGACGATCACCGACCTTACCATCAAACGAGATGTTGCAAATCCTCTTACTATCTCTTACTTGTCTAAGGGGCCGCAAGCGAATCCATTCCAGCCTCCATCAACGGCTCCTATGCTGCAAGACGCTTAGCAAGCAAGCACACAAATTGCAACAAAGGCAGTCCTGTACTCCAACAGTTCCCGCAACATCCCTGGCAACCTCGAGCACCAGGGACTCCACCTGAGGCAACAGTGCAGGAAAATACCTAAGCCCTAAGCCTAAGCTATCCTGAGCTGAATTCAGCGCACTCAGTTCTCAGCCGAGCCTGTTCCAAGCTAATGGTCTTGGTGGTCGCCCGGAGCTCCCGCTCGTTCACACCAGCACTTCCATGACTGGTTTCTTGGAAGCCTGCTGTCAGCACCGCTCTCGATTGCTACAATTCAACATGTGGCATCGAATCTGGTTTGCAGGCCCAGGCACGAAGATAAAACGGTGGCACATGTTTCTCAAACCTGTGTCATGCGACAAGGCTAGGACAAGGGGTAGTCAACAATACACTGGACAACCTGCGAAAAACTCCGCAAACCCTTCGAACGGCAAACAAACTTGCGATCTTCGCCGAAGGGTGTTCCCGAAGTTGCTGAAGGAGTCTCTGCCGGGTGGCTGCTTCAGGTATTGCGTCCAGTACACCGGACAAGCTGCGATGATGCTGCCAGAAGCGTGCAGGGATCCTGAAAGGATCGCCATGCCAACCTCAGCTGGGAACACAGCACTTCTTGAGCCTGGCAAGCTAAGTTCCGAACAGCGCCTCAGGTCTGAGAGCGCCCAGCACTGTTGTCCATCCAGCTGGTGGCATGAGGCCAGTTGCTGCAGAGGCTCATGGAGTTCGACACAACTTCAACAACGTTACACAAGTGTGCAACACCACCATCAAGCATGCATCATGCAGAGGGGTGGAATGGAAACAGACAGTGGCTGACGGAATGGAGCATACACCGGGTGGACGACTACGACAGTTGCCTCGATGCCGGCCTAGCAGTAGCCGGAGCACACAAGACAGACTCGGATTCGACTTGTTCCACGCTGCTTCACGCAAGAAGCGAAGTCCTCATGATTGCTCAGTGTGACTTGATAAAGCCGTGCGAACATCTTGCTGAGCTTATCAAATAGCTTGCAATGGCCAAGGGGCTGTGTTTGAAATGCTGCCGAGACCTTGCGCTTTCAAGCGCTGCACAGCTCCGGTCTGAGCTGCCATGCCAAGCTCTCGCCACGGGCCCCACTGCACGGAGACCACGTGCTCACCCATGGCCTGCGCCGGCATCTGTCAACAGAAACCGCAAAACTGCATGAATGGATAGAAAACAGGAGGGGAGGAGCAAAGGAGGTGCGGGAAGCTAGCAGGTAAGAAGGCAGGTACAGGTATGTAAGGAACAAAGAGGCGCGAGAAGCTAGCAGGCGGAACTGGTAGAGAAAGCGAAGGGCAGCCATCCGTGAGGTCTATGTTCAGCCTGTTTCGGTCTCAAGGCGCGGTCCTTCCAGTACCGCGCATAAGCATCCAAGGCAGCGTTGGCTGCAGAATAATTGCCCTGGCAAGGCAAAACAAGTATGAACAGACGACACGTGGAGCCAATGCACAGCACGGGCCTGGCCAGGCGACCCCAAGAGGGCGGACGTTGAGGAGAAAAGCACCATGAAGTCCAAGGCAACTCTGGATTTGAGAGACATGTGCAAATGCCGTGAGCCCCAGACCTTCGCACCATAGGCAGACTCCAGGTGCTTTTGCGTGAGTTTAGGCAAGGTTGCATCATCGAGCACAGCCGCCAGGTGCATCAAGCCGCGAAGAGTGTAGCCTGGGTAGCTTTGCGTGACGCTGGTCACCAGCCTCTCCACATCGGCGCTCTGGGCCACGTCGCAGGCGTTGATCAGGATCTCGATGTCGAAGCTCTCTAGCCTCTTCCACGCCTCGCTCAAGTCGTGGTTAACGACTCCCCGGCGTGAGAGCAGCACCATTGACTTGGCACCCTCTTCCGCCATCATCTCTGCAGTGACTAAGCCCAGGGCGCCAAGGCCTCCACTCAGAAGGTATGTGCCATCTGCGCGGCAGCCCATGCGCGGCGGCTGCGTCAGCACAACCTTGCCGATGTGCTGCGCACGCTGCATGTACCGCAGCGCCTCCACGCCGGAGCCAAGGCCTTCGTAGAGCGTCAGCGGCACCTGCTCCCACAGACCCTCCTCCACCTGGGCATGGGCACGAAAGGAGATTAAAGAAGCTTTAGATTCACATGTAAGAGTGCTTCCACCGCCTTCTGTTCTGGGTGCTCACCACATGTGTTGGGCCGTTTTTCGGCAACCTCGCCTGGCCCAGGAGACGTGCCAGCAGCAGATTGAAGCGCTCGGGCTGGTACTCCATCACCCAGTCCATGGCGATCTTCTCGTACTGAATATCAGGCCGCTCAAGACGCATGCGCTCATGGCTCCAGACACCTCTCTTGCCAATCTCCATGAAGCGCCCACCCTTCGAAAGAAAGCTGAGGGATTTGGGAATGAAGCCTTCGTGGCTCAGACTGTTCAGAACTACATCCACTCCATCCTCAGCACCGTCCTTTTGCAGGAAGGTCTTCATGTCCTCCTCGAACTGCTGGACATCGCGGCTGCTTGTGATGTACTTCACGCCACGATCCCGCAGGTACTGCACCTTCTCAGGGCTCCCAGCTGTGGCGAACATCGTCGCGCCCACGCGCTGTGCGAGCTGCACAGCAACAAGCCCCACTCCTCCAGCAGCTGCGTGGATCAGCACCCGCTCACCAAGCTTCAAGGGAGCCAGCTCCACAAAGGCTTCCTCGGCAGTTGCGAAAGTAACTGGCCACGCCACCATCTGCTCGAAGGACCATCGCTTAGGCTTCGGAACCATGAGCAGGCCCTCTGTGCAAGCGAAAGCTTGTAAGCAGCCTGGGGCGATGCCGAAGACATCTTGCCCGGGACGGAGCCGTGTCTCTCGCTCTCCGACAGTACAAACAGTGCCAGCACAATCACCACCTGGGTTGCCGGGGTCGCCGGGATACAGATCCATGACGTTCAGGACGTCCCGGAAGTTGAGGCCAACCGCACGAACGCGCAGCTCCACTTGGTCTGCGTCCGGCGACGTGCGCTGAAGGGGGACCTCACGAAGGTTGGACAGGCTCCCTCGCGACTTCATCTCCAGACGCATGGGCTTCTGGGGCTGCACTGAGCAGCGGCAGAGCCGGGGCACATAGGGGCCCCCGCTGAGAGCTAGTTCGGTCTCGACTCCACCAATGCTGCCAAGCTGTTCCAGGATGACCTGCGCCGTAGCATCTGCGTCGTCCGGATCGGGCACGTCCAGGTCAAAGCAGTAGAGGTCGAGCGAGGCGTCTTCCAGTCGTGCGGTGCGCGCCAAACCCCACAGGCCAGCATGCAAGTAGCTTCCCGCTCCACGCTCAGGCGCGTCCTGCAGAGAGGGCTCAGGAGCGAAATTGGAAATAGCTCCAGCAGACTGTTGGGCACGCCTGCGTTCTGAAGGTGAAGAAAGCGATCTTGGGCACTTGATGGCCCTTTGCGGCCAGTGCCATGGCTGCCTCCAAGGCTCATCGAAGAAAGCAGCTTAACTTCAATGAGGCCCAGACGCAGGCCTGCACCAAAAGCACGGCATGGAACAACACCTGCATTTCATCCGCGTCCTGTCACGATACAAAGGTGCACACATCATGGTGAAACAACAGCTGGGTGGAATATGGATGTCCTGCGATGCCGCGAGTAGCACCGCAACCTCGATCCCTTCAAAGGTCGAGTCCGCAGCCGTCTCCAGGAAGCTGGCCTCCACACCGGGCTGAAATTGCTGAAACAGCCAATGACGGAGTGATCCTCATGCTGCCCTCAGATTGCAACTCAAATGTGCTACGTAGGTGACTGCGAGCGCTAGTCTGGCCTCAGGCAGCAACACCTTCAACGAACTGCTCAGCTTCTCCGCGCCTCAGCCAGACTTCAACCGCAATGCGTTTCTGCCTTGAAGTCTTGTTTTGAGCTTTGGCTTTAGGACCTTGGGACATGATGATACCTGATGTCCCACGGTCCGCTTGCTACATGCGAACACAAAAAACTGAGCGACACACCGAGAAAGGCCAGGCCCGTGCCTTTTGGGCCGACCAGTGCTGCTGGAGATCCGGATGCTTCTGATGCTTCCGCAGCCATCCACTCCACTTCATGTATGTCTTCCTCCACGTCGGTGCGCTCGAACATCTTGGCCTAGAAACGAAACGGGCCAAGCACTGCAGCTCTCAAGTGGAGTCGTCCTGAACATCTGGCGGAGTAGCTCGGTATACCTGCAGCCTCCATGAATGCCGAAAGTGCCCGCTTCCCAAAATGAATGCAAAGACTAAAATGTGAATGAAAAGACATGGCGGTCTGCTGTTTTTCGCGTGCAAACTTTGCCCGGGAACGTGGCACGACAACCGACCGCCCTCAACCAACCACACTCCGTCCTCCGTCCAGAACCCTGTCCAAAACTGCCCCTCGACAGCAACCTCTGTGAACAAGCGGCAATATGTTGAGGATGCACTTCACGAAACCTTGGAGGATAGTTTCGTTCAGTCCGAAAACAAAAAACATCCATCTCCATCTACTGCCTGCTGCATGACTGCGTGTTCTGAAACTCATAGCAGACCGGGTACTTCATTGTCTCAAATCCGAGCATGATGCTGCCATCCTGGTCCGCTCATCAAGAGAGAATACAAGAAAAGGTTACAGGAGGTGCCAGTGGCTGTGACTTGGCTATTGGTCGCATTTTTGTTGTTGCGTACAGTGTAGAGGGCCACGAAACCTGGAGGAAGGCCTTCGAGCCAAGATGTATTGCAAGCGGCAGTGCGCACAAGGGGGTCTCCCCTACCGGAGGTGAAGCAAAAAAAGGCAGCTTGCATGTGCAACGGCACCACCATCAACTCAACTGCAAGCTAGCGTTTGCAGTATCCAAGGTCTACATCATGCAGGCCTCCTCGTTGCAGAGCTCACAATTGACCCAAAGCTCGTGGTCCGTGTTTCTGACAAGCTGGTGGTGCACCCAAATGTCAGCACGAGATCCTTGCAACTCTCGACTCAACAATGCAACGAGCAAAAGCATCTGCAGGCTTTGGCTTGGACGCAGGGCAGGTGCTGAAGCCTTCTTACATTGCTTCGTGATTACTGCCTGAAGGCACACAACAGGCGGAGCTACCGTCTACACGCTATCCACACAGAAATGGTTTCACCACAGCAGCTCTCATTGCAACCCCTTGCGTCCTTGCCCATAGCATGTGACTGTCTCCACCATGAATGGAACACGCAGGGAAGCCAAGCCGTCGGTCGTTTGGTGGCGCTGGCGCATGAGAGCCATGGAGCTTTGGAACGCTCCATCCTAAGTGTCCGCCGACTTGATGCTCCCAGTCAGACTCGCCCTCTGATCACTTCGCCCCCCAGGCCGAAAGATCCAGCAGGCACAACGAGCAGACACTTGAAGACTCCGTGTGGGATGCTTTGCTGAATCATCCCACCCTGTGTTGCTAATGCTGCCGGAGGACTGCATGGATTACCCTCTGGCAGCGGAAGTACTATGAAGCGCCCAAGCAACTCGCACTCTGCTACTGACCCTCGTACGACCTCTGCCATGTGCTGAGGTGGCCAAGGCACGATGACCGTGGGGTTGAAAAGGTAGCCAGCCTCTGCGTCCTCATTCTCAGCCACTATTCGCGCCAGCACCTGCAGAGGCCAGGAACCGAATCAGAGACTCCAGGCTCCTGCAACTGCACTGCAGCGACAGACCAAAATCCACCTCCTTGTCAGCGCGCAAGATCTGACGAACCGTCTGGAAGCGTCGCTCGAGCACGAAGCCGAGAGCAGAGAAAGCGACCTGAAAAGCCCACATGTAGCCTGTAAACTAGGCGACGTGTGCTCCAAGGAACATATAACTGATCCACTGCTACTTCTTCGTCGCAGTGCCGATGCACCTGATAGCAGCCAGACTCTCTCATCAGCTCACAGTGCGGCCCTGATCTTTGCATGGCCTCGTCTAGATCCACACAGGGGGATGTGATGTTGCCAAAACCATTCAGGTCAAGTTCCTTGGATACGTTGCCACTCCCTCCCAAGGAAAGAGCTCTGAAGCAATATCAAGCCTTACAAAGACATCATCCAAGCAGCCCCTTCCGCATGGTCTGCAAGCTTCCTGCCCTGACTTGCGTCAAAGCTGAAAATTGACCAATGCATGTCCGGGAAAATTTCCAAGTACCTTAGGCTTGCTCTGATTTGCTCTGAACAGGCTCCTGCTGCATCTGACTTGTGGGCATGACAGGTTAAGCCAGACCATGCATTCCAAATTGCATGTCAATATCCCGCACCAACTTTCCAGGTTTGTGCCCCTGCTGTAGAACTAGCGGCGCGGTGAAGCTAACCTGCTGAGGCCGGGAGGCTTTCGGCCAGTCTCTGTTGGATGGATGCGGACATCGGCCCCGAAGAGAGAAGGCGTCAGTTTGAGGACAAGTAAACCGGCTCTGTGCTAGCGAAACACTACTCGCAGGCTCGATGTGCAAGCTCAACAAGAGTCGTCGCACAGCCTAAACGATCTGTTACACAGGCCGCCTTGTGGATCTTCCACAGCTTGCCCGCATTCAAGTGCAGCTCACCAGCAGCGAGCACCATCTCAAGGTAGGCTGCCCCAGGCATGACCATCTCGCCGAAGAGTACGTGATGACCTTAGGAAGCTCAAACTGAATGCTGAATGCGTGCTTGGAAACTTCTACTGGCAACAATCAGCTGGCGAGAAGCCTTCGCATTCTGAGCCCGAGACTGACAAGCTGCAACAGCTTGCCCACCAGGGGCTTGGCAAAGATCTGCGTACCCTCGAGGGTATGCCACGTCCGCGTGAGCAGCGCATGAGGTCGGGCCCACCCAAAGGACTGCCGCTTGAAGACAAGGCCTTCCTCGGCCGGAATTGTCTCTGCAAAGTCCGTTAGGAGCACATGCCCATTTGTACCTGCATGGTCACATCGCACTGCAAGCTTGGCATCCCTCAGCGCGACATGTCCACATGAGTCATGCAGTAAGTTAACCGCGCCTCCAAATCCGAAGGACGAAAGGCCAGCAGCGACGCGCACAAATTGAAACCCAAAACCTTTCGTACCCGTTTCTGTAGATGCCGCATCCACGGCCACCCGACTCCATTCAAGAAGACCTTCCACTGGTAGACTGGCGGGGAAGTCTTCGAGATCACAGTGGGGATTCAGCTCTTTGAAGTGCAGATTTGGAGGGGACCGTTTTCGGGCGAGCATGCAAAGGGTCTTCAGCAGTCCAGCCATTCCAGCTGCTCCTTCCAAATGACCTTGCAGAATGAGCAGGTAATGGCACGGCTTTGGGGACATCAAACACACACAGCTCTATGGGTGCAGCCCGGCGGCCGAGATTGGTCTTGACAGCGCAGAGAGCCAGTGGATCATCTGCACTGCGTTGCGCAAAAATGCCTCTCAAAGCCCCAAATTCAATTGGATCGCCCAAGGCAGTACCTGTGCCGTGAGTCTCGATGCAGGCAATCGCTTGCGGCTCCATCTTCGCCTCCGCCAAGGCTGTCCTGATGACGGCCTGCTGCGAAGGTCCATGCGGCGCAGTCTGGGATGCGCTCCTGCCGTCCTGATTGACAGCTGAAGCCTGAAGCACCGCAGCTGGCTCCACTGCAAAAGCACCATGAACGTCATACAGGGACATCGTGATTGAGGCACACCCTTCTCCACGCACATATCCATTGGCAGACACATCGAAAGTCTTGCAGCGTCCGTCTGTGGAGAGCATGTGGGCCTTGCTGCAGGTAATGAACAACTCCGGAATCAAGCACAAGTTGACGGCCGCAGCAGCTCCGCTCGTGCACCTCGATCGACGAATGTTAGATGCAGTCATGTCGACTGCAACAAGTGAGGATGAGCAGGCTGTGTCTACCGTCGCACTTGGGCCCAGCAGGCCAAGCAGGTAGGACACCCGGTTCGAAGAGAGGGAGGGCGAGACTGCTAGGCCGGTGTAGGATCCGATCTTCTGCGATACGTGGCCACTGAGGCTCATGTGGCCCCAATCGTAATTGCATTGGCCCACCGCTACAGCGGCATCCATGCCCATAAGGGATCTCTTGTCGAAGCCGGACACATGGAACGAATGATAGACAACCTCAAGGAGCAGTCGTTGCTGTGGATCCATGGCCTTTGCCTCCAGGAGGTTTAACTCGAAGAAGGAAGCATCGAATTGATCGGCTCCTAGCACGAACGAACCATGGCGCACCATCATCTTTCCTGGAGCTTCAGAGTCCTCGTGGTAGTAAACATCGACATCCCATCTCTCCATCGGAATCTCACTCACACAATCTGACTTCTGGCTCAGTGCCTGCCACCATTCCTCCATGGTTGCTCCCTGGAATGGGAACCGAAAAGCTGCTCTGTTGGCTGCAAGCTGCAGGCTGGAATGTTGGGGCGGATGTGATGTCAATGTAGCCGGAGACCCCTCTGCTGCCAACACGCTGGACGACGAGAGTGATGGTCTGCTAGCAAGTTCCAGAGTGAAAGGTACCCCCGCAATCCTTGAGTCGACAGTTTCCACAAGCACCTTCGGACCGAATTTGGCTCTGACCAAGAACATGCTATCGGACCCAGGTTCGAAATCCAAGTCCTTGACCTCCTCAGCTCTCAAATTCGTCCTTGCCAAGATCTGCTCCAGCAACTGTGATTTGAGGCTTTGTCTCTCCTCGTCGGTGTAAGAATCCAGATCTCCGGGGAACACCATGTCCAGAGAGACGGCTGCATGACCACTGCCGCCAGTTCGCACCCGGCCCGTGGCTGCCCGCGTGGATGCTGGGGAACCGGGGGAAGACATTGCTTCTGTAGCGTATTCGGAGATGGCTTTCGGGCTCGGGCAGTCGAACATGAGGGTGCTTGGAAGCTTTAAGCCTTCCAACTCCTTGGAAATTGCATCCCGGAGTCCCACGGCAGTTAAGGAAGTCAGGCCGGCTTCCATCAAAGGCATATCGTCAGGAGGCTTGGATCCAAGAAATCTTGTGACAACACCTTGCACCACCTCGTCCACCTCAACCGCCAGTTCATCATGAGCAAGATGACGGAAAGCGCTTGGCAAGGTGGGCTTCGAATGAAGCCTGGAAGAAGCTCCAGATTGCAGGTCAGAGGGCATAGGATGACGCTTCCGATTCCAAGAAATTTTGTCCGGCCTCTCAAGCCTAATGCCCTTGGCATACCCATCCTCGGGAGCTTCCAGAATTGCATGGCTGTTTGTGCCCGAGAACCCGAACGAAGTGACACCAGCGACAGCGCGAGATCCTCTCCAATCAATGAGGCTGTCCGGCATGATGACGGGGAAAGCAGTCAAGTCAATGTTTGAGTTCATCTTCTGCAAATGCAAATTCTTTGGAATCATCCTGCAGAGAGAGCACGCTTACAGAATGCTGCTCCATGATTGGAGCTTACTGTGTCATTGCCAAACTGGCCTGTGGGTGAATTCGTTGACCATCTTGATGATGCCGGCAACGCCCGAAGAGCCTGCTCACACACATCAGCTTCAGCTGAGCTTCAGTGTCTACGCTTTCAAGTGGACTGTTGTATGCTGACTAGTCGTCCTGCTCATTCAGCTTTAGACAGTGTCCTGCAATTGATCGGCTCAAAAACAAGATCGGTTTAGGGCTTCATCGCTTGACCTGCGGCAGGGCCTTCTGGGTGTCCAATGATGGACTTCAGTGCGGCCATGATCAACGGTGATTCGTCACTGCGGTGCTTGCCCAGGGTGCCTTTCATCGCACTCACCTCGCGGAAGCACGCAGGATTTTTGCAAACTGCAATGAAACAGCTTCAACTGAAGGCTCTCGGCAAACAAGCATGCTTTGCTGTGAGCTGTCTTGTTGTGATCTTCGCTCTCCTCGAAGAAATCCCTACGTGCAACGTACGGCTCAGAGGCCTTACAAATGATTGGCCATCCTATGGTTCCGGCCTCAATTGGATCACCAAGCGAAGTGCCTGTCCCATGTACTTCCACAAGGGAAACCTCCAAGACTTTCACCACAGCTTCCTGCATGTCGGGAGGAAGAAACAATGGCATCCTCAAGATTCTGTCACTGGCCTGTCACTGATGGTTTTCTCAAAGACTACGACACTGTGAAAACCAGTGCAGACTCGCAGTTCCAGCTTCTCCTGTAAGCAGCCCTGGATGCACCGTTGTTGCGCAGGGCCAGACGGTGCTGTAATCGTTGCACTGCGACCATCCTGTGCGACACAGGTGCCAGGTAAGATCGCCTCAAAGGCTTCTCAGACTGCACTAGAGTCACTAGATTCTACAGATGTCTCGAGATGGAATGAATTTAGAGGCCGCATACGATCTTCCGCGAGCATGCCCACATCACCTAATAATAGCAGGAATGACGGCAGCAACAGTCACAACAACTTAACAGTCATAACTAGCCATTGATTCCATCTGCGATTCACCATCATCACCACCATCACCATCACCGTCATCATCATCACGATCACAGTCATCATAAATCATGATGTAAACGACAACAGTAGTAATACTTGCGACAAGAACCCTGATGCTCATCATCATGGCGGTGATGATTATAGTAATCGATTCAATAGAACAGAGCAAGCCCGTGCACTTCTTGCTGATTCGACGAAAACCCGACTACGCGCAGTTGTGGCCCCGCCTGGTTGACACAGACGCCAAGAGCCGTAGCAACTTGGTGCTGGCCAACCTGGAGCTAGAAAGAAGAGCTACTGGGCAGCTTCTAGACAGCACCACTTGCGCAGGAACCTATTGTGCAGGCCTTGTTCACGCCCAACTCCAAGGTTAATGATCCGACACCATCGCTGCGCCCGAAGCCGTTGGCAGTTTCGTCGAAGGTTTTGCAGCGGCCATCAGGCGACAGTGCCATAGCCATCTTGCAGAAACCTACCTGGCCATGCCGGATAGGTTCCAGATGCAGTAAAAACCACGAATCATACTTACGCAAGAACTGCTTGCATGTCCCAGACACCCACGTGTTCGGGCACAGCTGCCTGGACAGACCAAGACATTCAGAGACTCTTCAGGCTCACGTAACACGAATACCAGCCATCATCAGTCTAGTTGCAGGTTGCTGCCAGCCACGGCGCTCTTGTCACACTTGCCCAGTCGCTCGGCTTGCACAGCGCAATCAAATGCGACCAGAGTTGACCTGTAAAAAGCACTTGAACAGCTGGACACTGGCCTGCGTCACGCAGGTGTAATTGTATACCGTCATGGGTAGGCACATGTAGGCAAGCAAGTTGCGAGCATGCCGTGTCAATTGTGAGGCAAGGTCCACGAAGGCCCAGGGCATGCGAAACGCGTCCAGAGTTCCTTCGATGATGCAAACCAAAATACACGCAGCTGGGCATTCACGGCAGCTGCCTGTCAACCTGTCCCTATTTAACTCAATCGAACCGATCTCCAATCTTGACGATCCTTCGTATGAAGAGTTGAGATCGAATGCCATGTAGGCTGGCCCAGAGAATACAGAAATTCCACGCAGCCTGATGACATGTCGAGCATTGCGGAGCCAAGACACCCAGATGTTGAAGAGCCAATCATCGTAAAGGGACCAATGTCATCATCCTCGCAGAACCTGCAAAATGTCGGAGCAGGAAGTTGAACAGTCCACAGATTGTTAGTCGCAAGAAAGGATTGCAGCAACAGCTACCTGGAGGAGCTGACCATGCTTACTACACCCGGTTTTCATCAACATGCCAACAGTCTGAAGAATTCCTGCACGCCAACACCCAGCATCGTAGCGCAGCCGATATAGCACCCGGTGCTGGAATTCAACAAGCTCTCCTGCGCATGACAGTGCAGTGGGGTCATCCGGCGGCTGTAACTGCAAGGCATGCGAATTCTGCTCTACAATGTCCTTGTTCTGCTGGCCATTCCAGAAAGACTCATAGACCACTTCAAGCCTGAGTAACTGCTTCGCAAGTTGTAACAACTTGTTGCTGGAGAATGGAATTGGCCAGCTGCACGTGGAGTCTGGCTGCAGCACCAACTCTGGCAAGGTGCAAGATTCGCTGGTGCGGATCCATAGCTTGAGCTTCAGGTTCCGCGATGCCAAACATGACGTTGTCAAAGTCCTGCAATGCAAAGCACAAGAAACCTGTAAACTGTTCCAGCTTGGCTTAGTCATGGTACTGATTTGTTTAGAACCTGTTGTTCGATCTAAGTGGCGGGGGCAGAGGACGGGTCAAGTCGATCGAACAACCCTTTCGGAACTTTCAGGTGCTCAAAGTTCCGTTATGTTCCATTGACCGGCTTCCGTAAAAAGGATGCTTGAACTACTTGGCCCCCGCCCCCGCTCCTCCAGCCAAGAACCCTGCTGGGAGTTCAAACAACCCTCCTCGTTCAAGCTTTCGGCTTCCGAAACTCAAAACAGAGGGTTGCTTCAGCTTCACCAAGGGAAACGGTTCAAAGCAAACCAAACGAAAGGCTAGGCCGGGAGAAGTTACTATCTCAACTCGCCGGGTCTCTTGATTCCGTTGTTTTTGGTGCGACCACGGGCGACGTCGCTTCAAAAACTGCCCAGCTGTTACGGAGATGCTTCAATACTCATATCTTGCAAGGACCAGCAAACCAACAAGCACGAAAGAAATTTGATGCAAAATCAATAGTTCCGGGCATGGCCTCTGGTGTTGCATCTGCTTCTTTTCCTACTGACGCGTCTGCTCTGCCGCTGGTACGACTACAAGTACAGCCACTGCCATCTTCTTCATTCACTCTTGCCTAGAATATGTTCCATTGTTTCATCTCAGGCAAGTGCGCTTCTACTGAAAACGGTCGCACCTCCAAGCAGCGAATGAAGCCGCCAAAACGAGTGTACCTTGACTTGAAGTCCATCCACTGCAAGCAATTGTGCCACACTAAGATGCATGCCAACCGTTTGGTCTCCAAGCCGCATCTTGCCAGGCTCGCTGGGATCCGGATCATAATAAAGGTCAATGTCCCATCGCTCACTGGGCACCACGGTTATCATATCAAGACCCGCCTTCAACATGGCCCAGTACCTGCGGATATCTGGGCTTTTCAAGTCTTGCTTGGCAACTTGTGGCTCAAGCTTGCAGCGTCAAGAGCTTGGGGCGGTCCCGACATGCTCAGTGCTCAGGACTGAGACGCTCACTCATCGGGGCTGTTTCCGCTGCAGCCAGCGAATCTAGCGGCACAGCCAGCAATCGCCACCGGCTCTGACACGTTGAAATCTCGCACATCTGCCAAACGGATGGCGCAAGGCTGTAAACAAGGTTGGCGTGGCAGCAATGAAATATGCGTGAACATGCTCACAAGCCACTGCTTCCTGTTGCAGAGCAATGTCACCTACGCATTCTTCGAACTATCATACACACAAGTAGCAAGACTGTCCAATAAAAGTAGACTGATGGCAGCAGCATGAGAAAACCGCTTCAACAGACAGACCGAGGAATGGTCAAGAAACTACGAGAATAATCAGGACTCGGGCCTTCGGGTAGGGTATGAAGGCACTTGACAGAGGCTTTGTTGCTTCAAAAAGGCAGCTCCGTTGATTCGATTCTTTTGTGCTTGCTGCATGTGGCTTGCACGGCCTGGAATGGACTCTTCGTACTTGCTGTTATCTCCAGATAACCTGGCAGAGATGAAGCCCGTCAACTCCGTCACGGTGGGAAAGTCAAAGATGACCTTGGAGCATTGACGACCCCTAAAGCCGCACCGGGACCCCCAACATCCTCTGCAGCATCGTCTGATGCAAATTCAGGGCAAAGTGCTGTGGAAGCCAGATGGACGCCCTCGAACGAAGCCTGAACTAAGTTTCTGAACTCCACGACAGACAGGGAGTCCAGTCCCATGTCCATGAATGGTACAGAGAAGTCTGTCCAATCAGGATCTCCAATAACACTGCGCAGTGCGTCGATGATGGTGGAACTGATGAATTCCTGCGAACACGACCATCTTAGAATCTTGTGGGTAGGGATGAGGCTTTGCGACTCAGTAAAAACGTGCCTCTGACACGCCTTCACCACGGATGCTCGCACCTGACACGGAGCGTGGTCAGTGCACTGCACTACCTGTCGACGTCGGTCATGCTAGTGTCGTTCTTGCTTTCATGGCGACATCGCCCTCCCTACATCGCTTGCCTGCGGCTTTCTTCAGGTGCTTGAAGTTTGTCAGGAAGCACGGCACTTTCCGCTGCACGGCGAGGAAAGAAGACCAATCGATGCGCGAAATCCCCAGAACACCACCAGGTGAAGATGTGGCAGCCAAAGCTGCGCCCAGTGCCTGGACGGCCGTATTGTTGCAATTGAGCTAAGAAGCCTTCCGACCATGATATCTCAGAGTCTTTGGGAACTTTCAAGCCTGCAAACTTGAGTTCGGATCCAGCCGCAAGTAGCCGCCACTCTCCCTCGTCCCCACTCGAGCAGCCATGCCCACTTCTGCCCACGGTCCCCATTGAACGGACAAAGCTGGAAGACCTGCAGCAAAAATTCACATGTGAACCTGGACTGCAGCTATCTGGCAGTGCATTGTCCTGATGATGCATGACAGCATACCTTGGCCGCATCGGTGCAGTGCAAAGGCATCAAGGAAGGTGTTGGCAGCGCAGTAGTTGGCTTGACCACGAGATCCCAACATGGCTGCCACGGAAGAGAAAAGCACAAAGAAGTCCACCTTCAGCAGAAACTCGTTTGGGGTAACAGCTGGATTTATTGTCCACAAGACAGAGCAGGACAGCCCACCGACAGCTTCTGAGCAGACTTAGCGCAGCTTTTAAGGCCTGGGGACAAGCGAAGATGTTGTAAGCCACTGTCGTTCAGATAAATCTGACAAGCGAAATGAATTCTGATTCTAACACTGCTTCTCTCACAAAATACAGTGCTATCCTTAAACCATTAACAGTAATGCTACTATTGGCTACTATAGTATTATTTATACTCGGTGCTGTTACTCTTCACGTTACTGTTGATAGTTGTTAGTATCTTTGCCAATCAGGTTGTCATCACTAAGTGTTGTTTTGTACATGGCTCAGGCGTTGACAGTGTTCGATTTTGGCCTTGTTGCATGCATGACCGTTGTGGGCTGAGGCCATGTTTCCTGCTGAGGTCACAGGTTTGAGGCCAGCCATATCGATGAATTCCCCAACAGCCCTTGCAAGCTTTGCTGGGACAAATACCTCAATGCCCTAGCATGCTTTTCTTAAACAAGATGAACTGGCCTTGCTGCCGTCCGTGCTCTCAAGCCCGAGATTGAAAAAGGCTTTGTGAAGATTCCTTGGCAAGTCGACATGCAAATCATGACGTTTACTCACTGACAAGCTCTGAAGAAGTGCCCGAATCGACGAAGCAATTGCTGAGGTCCTTTCACAGAGCCATCCACCTTCGGCTTGAAGACGTTGGCGAAATGATTCCGAGCAAGATCTGCAATAAGATGATCATCCAAGACCTGATGCTGCGGCTGGCTAGTGCATGCATGTGTCTTCAGCGATGGGCAACACGCGATTCGCGTCAGCATGGCCACACATCACAGACTCGCTGCTGCATCGACTTTCTTGGACTTCGATCTGCCCTGTCCCGCAAGTTAAGCTTCAGACACCGGCTGCGTGAACGGCTCCGCAGAGAGGTTTCTCGGCATGCAGTGACTTCAAGGCTGATGTCACAGCCTGGCCGGCTTGACCCCAAGACATGGACCCTGAGTCATGCCCTCAGAAGCTTCTTGCTCGCCTCCTCAACGGAGATGTCGCAACATTGCAGAGTCGTGGCAACACCCGTGCTTTGCAGCTTCGCGTACGAGGCTGCAGCAGTCGGCTCCTCAGGCAATTACGGGCTGCTCCACATTCAAGCAAGGATCAGAGCATCTCTTACACAAGACTATGTGCAACAATTCATGCACCTGTCAGTCCGCAAACATCTGGTACATCTTTTCAAAACTCCAGGGCCTGTGAAATGTTGCCGGTGCGGGAGAGCAAAGCGACATGTCCTGCACCCTTCTCGGCAAACCATGTAGCGAGCAGAAGCCCAAGGCCACTGGTGCCACCGCTAATAGCAATGCTACCATCTCGTGGACCTGTCAAAAACATCAGCTCAGGGCCGAGCTAGGAAATCAGGAGAACACCCGCGGGCACAAGCAAAAAGACAATTTTTCAACACGTGCCAAGAGTCGATAGCTACCCAGATCCACCTTTCGGAACTTGCTTGTGGTGTCTTCCAAGCGATGGACCAGCAAGGAGAGGCTTGGACTCTGCAGCTGGAGGAGCAACTCCGGCTCCATCAGCTCCACACCACTCTTGCGATGCAGCTTCAGCTTTCGCAGCCTGATCATGCTGGGAGGGTCGCAGATATTCCAACCGCAGCACCTGGCCTGATTACTGCCCCAGGCCCCGTAGTAGTCTATTAAGCCTTTTCTGGCCCTCTGGGGCACCACTCGGGCCTGGCGATGATATCCTCAGAGCCGTTGCAGTTGACACCGAGGTCCACGCAGCCAGCAAACGAGCCGGGCGACTCGAGCCGGAAGCAGCGGGCCAGGCCCCAAAGACCAGCGTGCCATGGGATGGCCTCGCCCTTCAATGATCTTGCGTCCGTGGCCTGGCTTCGCACATCCTGCTGACAGTCTGCTATTCGTGCCCTACTACCCCTGCCTGAGTGGCGTGCAACACGAACCACACCACTGGGCTGGAATTCATGCGCAATGCCATCTGAATCAGACCAATGCCATTCTCCACAACATCAAGAGGGGAATCATCAGGCGATGGGATGTACACCATCTGTGCAACTTCAAAGTCTTCACGGACACATGGCAAAGAAGTGCAGCAAACATGCTTCTCACCAACTTCTGCTTTAAGCAAATCAATCAGGCCAGCATCGGCCAGGAAAAGCCATTGCTCATCAGAGTTGCTGAATGGCAAGAAGCCGTGGGTGCTTTCCGCATCACCGATGTAGCCAACCCACTTCGACTCAAAGAAGCTGATCTGGCCTGCTGTCTTTCTGGCACCAGCCTTTTGCACTTGGTCAGGTAGCACCTTCCGAAAAACTACGTCCTCCAGCAGCCACAACAGGGATCCCGATTGACTGAAAACACGGCAGCTAAAGACCTGTTCCTTGTCTGTGTTTTCAGTGACATGCAAGTGCAGCACCAACGGGTGATCCATCGGCACAACACTGGCATGTACGGAAACTTTTCCGACTCCAGCAAATATCTTTAGCATTGGAGTCGTGTCGCCAGCCACCATGGCGCATGCTGCATGAATCGAGCCATCGAGGAGGCATGGATGTATAATGTAACCTTCGTCGGAGACATCAGGACTGAGCTGCAGCTGGCAGGAGATTCCATCTGCATTGCGCCGGATGTCATAGCACACTTGGAACATGGGTCCCAGATGCAGCCCTGATCTATCGACCAGCGAGTAGAGACTTGCCGAGTTGACTCCTTCATCTCCTTCTGTGCTAGCATTTGCCGGTTTCGTGTCCGAGTCCACATCCTGTGCTGTCGTCTCCACAGCTGTAGCCTCGACACGCCCCTCACAGTGAACTGTCCAAGCATCATCATCAGGGCCCTGACTTCTCAATTCAAAGCGTTTGTTGCCTATGATCGCAAGGCGAAGGGTCACCTGCTTGCCATCAGCGTCACTGTCCTTTGGCACCACACAGGGCCACAGCATGTGGACGGTTCGCAGACGAGCCTGCGGACCCAAATGCGCCCTGGCGGCCTCCAGTGCCATTTCCACAAATACCATGCCAGGAACGACAACCTCACCATAGACCACGTGTTGCGAAACCATGTGGAACACATCGGAGTGCACGGGGCAGTCGAAGTGAACCTCGTTGGGTGCCGTAGCTCGATGACGAAGGAGCCGAGGCAATGCCTCACGCCAAGGGAAGGGCTGCCGCCGCAACTCCAGCTGCGAGGCCTCGGGAAATCGTCAGAGTCTGAAGAGAGGACAGAGACGACACCTACATGGAAATGCTGTCCGCTCGTTGTCTTGAAGTTCCGGCTCAGTCCTTGTGCACCCACCTCAGACCTACCGTCTCCGTTGTTTCTTGTCAGTACATTCACAATTCAAGGTTTGTAATTCCGAAATTCTATCCGGTGCGTTTCCGGAGTCGTCTAGAAGCCTTCCCAGCTCCAGCCCTCCACAAACTGGAAGCCACCGGTATGGCTTGCGACTCTTGTCGATGTCGGGTTTCTTTCAGCGTGGTAACACAATCTTGAGACTGAGGCCCACATGACCCACGGTTGTAGGAGCTCCAAATGTGGACCGTGACAGCCCCTGCCCCCAATGCGGTCGATGCGTAGCATTGACAGGTACATGCCGTTTTTACATCAGTCGAGTTATGTTGGAATGACGGTAGCACTGCAATCTAATGTTCGATGCCCAACAGCTTTGACATCCCATCACGTGACTTAGAGCTCGGACGTGTCTTTGCGGCCGGCTAAACATATTTAACTGGTGCGACAATCGCAAAAGCAGTGTGATCCGAAGTAAGGCCTTCCAGGAATCATCTGGCTGAACGGCGTGCTTGCAGATTGTGTGTGCATTCGTGCCGCCAAAACCAAACGACTGCAAGCCTGAACAGGAAATATACATGAAGATGCACGGGGAATGCTGGCTGCACGGCAACTTCATCGGCAACTACTCTGCTGATCTGCTCGGGCCTGAGAAGAGCATGCCTCCCGAAAGCTGCTGCGAAATAGCCGGGATCATTGCTGGAAAGTCATCCAACTCAATCTTTGGATTCAATTTTGCCAAGTGCAGGTTCGGGGGTGTGACACCTCGGCTGGATTGGTGAGAGCAGCGATTGCGGCAAATGTGGCAATGCCAACAAGAGTGGCTGCCCGGCAACTAAGCCCCGCACCATGCTTCAAGGCTAGAAGGGTCTTTGCCAATCCTGCTGCACCAGCGGCACCTTCCAAATGTCCTGCGGCATGAGCGCGGTGCTTTCCAAAACCCTGACGATTTTTTGTTGAAAGCTTGGATTCTCATTGGATGATAATCCGAACTCGGTTTCTGACCCCGTGATGCAGTCACAGTGGGCGCTGCGCTCAGTGCTTCCACGCACAAGCATAAGACGCCGTGGCCGTTGCACACCATTGCAAAAAACGAACGCATTCCGAGACCAGTCTCACTACAAGTGCTGACAGGTCATTCCTGATTTCTTGCAGCTGTCTGTGCCAGCTTCTGGCAATCCATTCACACTGCCAGCTACTTCTGGCACGCATCTTTCGATTGCAGATCACATCTCATCTGATGTCAACACCTAGCGCTTTCACGAAGCACAGACCTGTAACCGATCCACTCTGTTGAATGGAAATCCTCAAATGATCTCGATATCGAAAAGCCGAGGCACAAGCCTCTCATGCAAGCAAACAACAGGGAGCCAGATTTGCCGTCTGTCTGCCCACTTACAGGGCAAGCTGGGCACCCCCCCTGTGTTGCCAGACCCGCATGCAAATGACTCTCCCGCAGATGAAGACAAAAGGAGCTTCCATGGAGACAGACACGGAGAGAGAGAGGGAGGGCTTCGGTACAGGGTAAGTTAAGCAAAGGTTACTACGGGCCTCAGTACACGGAGGAAGGAGTACATCAAGACAGACTGCGCGTTATTTTGCATTTTTCCTTGCTGACATACCTATGATGGCGATAGATTTCTCAATACTGAAGGAACTGCTCTGTATCTTGTATTGATTCAAAACATGCAACAGCAGGCAGCGGTCCTAAGTTGGTCTTGACGGCTGCCAATTGCACTGGCATGGAACGGCCAGGGCCAAGGACTGCTTTCAATGCTCCTGTCTCAACTGGATCACCAAGAGCTGTCCCTGTACCGTGACACTCCACCAAACTGAGCTGTGTCGAAGATATCTTCGCAAGCTGCACAGCCTTCTGGATGGCTCGCTGCTGTGCAAGTCCATTTGGAGCTGTCAAGGTTGAACTTTGGCCATTCTGATTAGCAGCCGATGCGGCGACAAGTACCCATTCGCCAGTCGGATGGTCCTGACGGTCTGCTTCCGCAGCTCTCTGAAGAAAAACAGATCCACATCCTTCACTACGTGCATAGCCATTGGCAGATATGTCAAAAGTTTTGCAGCGGCCATCAGGAGAGAGCATTCGTGCCTTGCAGAAGGCAACGAATGGCTCAGCAATCAGGTTTAGCTGCACCCCGGTGACTATGGCAGTCATCAAATCGAACCCGAGCTTTTGGTACGCAATGTCTAACGCTACCAGGGATGATGAGCAAGCTGTGTCGATTGACATGCTTGCACCTTGCAAGCCCAGGTTGTACGAAATTCGATTGGCTGAGATGGACGAATGCGTGCCAGGGCCAGTGTAAGGGTTGGCAGCTCCTTGAGCGGACATTTTGGCCCAGTCGCTGCTGCACTGTCCAACAAATACACCAACATGAGAACCACGTAGCGTCTGCTTCGTACGGCCAGCATTGTGGCAGGCACTGTAAGACATTTCCAAAGCCAGGCGCTGCTGCGGATCAATGGCTTTTGCTTCGGCGGCAGACATCCCAAAGCAGCCTGCATCGAATAGTTCGGCACCTTGAACGAAGCCTGCACCCATCCCCGAGTCAATTTTCTGGGCTAGCCCAACGGATTACACTGATTACACCAAAAAAACTGCAACATGCAAAATCTATCCGCGAACGAAGCCTCCGTGCCGCACGTACATCACGTTGCCGAGAGCCTTCACAGCGGAGCACACGCTACTGAAGCAGCACATGACGTCTTATGTGTGCGCTTCCCGTGGCCGTCACCCTATACGAGCTACGTAGGGTTGAAACCAATCAGAGAATCGAAGTGTTGAACAATGTGGGGCCTCTATGTCCTCAGCGAAAACCTCGTGCAAGTCAAATCGTGACGATGGAATTTCCTCACAGGTCCAGACTAAGTGCAAAAGTCTTTCCTCACCCTGCCGCAGGAAACTGCCCACATACCCTGAGGTCTCGACGGATATTGCATCTTGGAACTGGATCCAACGAGACCAGCAGAGCTCAGGACCTTCCGGGCCACCAGGAAAGAGACAGGCCAAACCCGCCGCGCCAACCATGTAGCTTCCTGCAAGCACACCATCTCCACATGCACCTCAAACGGTCTCCTACTGAAGACGTCCTGTCCAAACGGGGGCTACCGCTTCGAGAGCAGGGGATGCCAAAGACGACGAATCCAATTGAGAGCTGGCCAAATCGGCAATAGCCCGAAGCGTAGGGTGATCAAAGACCAGGGTGTTCCTTAGATCGGACACCATCTTCAAAGTGCCTGCAACACCAATGCTATTTGCTGCCACAGCGCGGAAACTTGATGCCCTCTTGTGCTTCAGCTGCAAGACGATTACGAAGCTCAATCGAAGACAAGGAGTCCTGCGGAAGGCAATGTTTCTTTGGTCTTCCTTGCTATGCCAGCATTTTACACGTCCAGTGATACCAGCAGGTTCTTGAGTCTCCTTGCAAACCGTGCTGCTCAGCAGCATTTTAGTGCCACAGGCGTAGAGGTTTGCTCCACTCACCGTTTACATCATGAACCATCACCCACATTCAACATGCAGCCTCATCAGTTGCATAAGCCACCTCCGTTATTGCCATGTCCAGGCCACCAGAAACAATGCGGGCATACATGTCAGTAACACACCTGTGCAGAGAAAACAGTGATCTGGCGTATTGCACACATGCTGCAACCGGGCTCGGATGCCTGCAGAGCTGTCAAACCCTTTAGCCCTTACCCCTGCAGGCGTTATGATTGCTGCACAGATGTAAAAGAAACCACTCGGCAAAATGTAAGGTTGGGCAAAATTGGGTATAGATCTCTTCTGATCTGTTTATGGACGGTATGAGCGCCAAGCTTTCGGACAAGGCATACGGCATGGAGCAAAACAAAGGGGACTCTCACTGCCGTTCAATTTGCGCAAGGTTCCTTTGCATCCACGATTCTTGCCGAGATTACATTCATGCGAAAAGAGAACTTCATTCGAAAAAGAAACTGCTACCCTGGCTTCTGTCCAGGCCAGCATCCATCAACGGGTCGTCCAACCCCACGGCAGAGCCAATCACATCGGCCGTGATGCGGCCTCTCCAGCCTACTCTGTCATGGTGCAAAGAGAGGGGCCTAAACAGCCCGTATCACTTGGGACAAATGCACTATGCAAAGAAAGTTTCGCACAGGTTGTTGTACCGCTCCGGACTAATTTGTCCACGGCACTGACCCAACGGATCACGTCTTCTGAACTGGCTTCCGCCTGCAGAGCATCTGCAACAAAGACCTCAGGTCATGAATATGAACGTGCCTGCTCAGCGGCGGCACGTCCTCCTTCAAAGTCGTCATCTTCAAATTCCTCCCATGATGCTTTCAAGCATTTAGCTGGTGACACAAAGGCTAAAGAAGCAGGAAAGCACGTCCTGAAAATATGTTGGTGGACCCTTCGGGAACCTCATTTAGATGAACACGAATTGACGGATGCTAGCATGTGGCTCAGTCCGCTGTGAGAGTGCTATCACTGCAGGGGCACTGCTTCAGGAAGGCAGTCCACTGTACCAAAGCGCAGCCGAGGTGAACTCCAGTGACTGGTCTTGCCAGCGCCGTGGACCTAACAGATGTAAGCTGCAGAAACGGTGCAGAAGAGAAAGGGACAGAGGAAGATGTGGAGAACACGCAAAAGCACAATGCGAAGTCGCCGCCACCACCGCTCTGGACACCACCATCACCACAAAAAACTGGATGCTGAGCTTCAAACAATACTGATATACCAAGCCTTCCAGGACTGACACCAAGGAAGACTGCTGCTTCGGGCCCAGTTTAAGTCTCAGATTCCCTCTGGGTGCCGGACTCATTGCTGATACCCGCCATCTTGAGCCGGTGAAAAGAATTGCTTTGAGCCTCGGAATGCAGCCGCTGAGCAACATTGGATCTGTCACTGCCTTTCGCTAAGCTCCCGGCTGCCATGCCAGCTTCCAACCAAGGGCCCCACTGCAAACTCTGCGCTGGGACTCCGCTCAGATGCCAGTGGTGAGCCAAAGCATCCAAGCCTGTGGCACAATGAAGTCTTGTCACGCACCCTGTACTCAAGAGTGTCCACAAAAGAAGTCTCAGCGCTCAACAGGCGTTGGCTGCAGCATAGTTGGCTTGGCCTCACCGTCTGCAGCACCCCAGGCGAGGAAACCCGTGAGCCCAAATGTGAACAGAACTTCTGTGAGCCTGGGGCACCCAGGAGAGATGCGGTGGAAGAATAAAGTACGAAGAAGTCCAGCAGCCGGCCTTCTGCGGCACTGTAGAGGTGCCTGTGCTGCAGAATAATGACACGGCGTACAACTCCAAGCAATCAAGCAAGCCAAATACCCTGGAACTATGCTCGAAGCCAAGAGTCTTTGCCCCTGTTACCTTTGGACCGTAGGTTCTTTCCAAATGCTTGACAGTGAGCTGGGGAACCAAGGCATCATCCAAGACCTTACCACCCAGGGACATGGATGTGGAGCCAAAAACCTGCATCCTGCGATGCAGTGCTTCATGGACTTTCTGCTCCAACTGCAGCTTCAGCTGTCGACAGCTACTATGCTTTCATATACAGTACTTTCCGAAGCGTGCAGTCTGACAGGTGGTCAGCTCACAATTAAAAATGCTGCCAACCAAGTCTAGCCGGGCGAAAACTCGAGGCAGCTATACTGGGATCTGCCCTGTAGGCCCTAGAATGAGGAGGTGAGCTCACAACACAAAGGAATCAGCACTGTGGGAGCCGCTTTGGACACGGGGTGTGCTGTTCTTCAAGGCTGTCCGACTGCTTGGCACACAAACAGTAGAGCATCCAGAAAAACGGCGAAGCCTCCACGCATGCGCCGAATCATTGACACCACTAGGTTCATCGAACCTGACCTATTCCTTTCGCTCCGGACCTGTCACAACCCGAGAACCCTACATCAGCCATGTGCCCAAAGCCCTGCTGCGACAGAACAAAATTGGACCTGGACTGTGTAGGAGCCAGCCTTGCGTGCGTGCCGCGGACAAGCAAAATACGGATGATGCGAAACAAGACAGGCCGCCCTTTTCGGTTCTGGGAAATGAAATCGAACACACAATTGTTAACAGAGGTTTCGCATGAAAAATTCATCTTTCTCTGATACTCTTCCGCATCGATTCCGGTGTAGTCATTTAGACGTCTCTTCCCTGGCCGTTTCGCTGACGCAGCGCTTCCACGACTTTTTCGCGGCCAACTTGCGGACAGATTGAGCCGAAACAGGTGGCTTTCATTGCAAACACTCAAGCTTCAGCCGCTACGATGCGATGGCCTCAAACACTCTGCTGGAGCCCATACATCGTCAATGCACGTGTAGCTCTAATCGGACTCTAACTCAAACCAACTTCTACAAGATTACACTTGCACACCTCCAAACTTAGACATCGCGTTCATACTGGATCTCTGCGCGTCAACAAGAATTTGATTTGAGAAGACGGCCACGAAAGCCAGGGCGAAGAAGAAAGGAAGGACAGAGCAGGTCCGCACCGAAGTCGCTGTGGATATCAGTGCTGCAGTCGAAGTGGTCGGGCTAACAGGCAGCAAATCTCGGCAACACACGGACGGAGAGTTTGCAGCGCCGACACGTGTCTGCCAGTCATGAAACTCGACAAACAAATTCAGCTTGCTTTGCAATGTGCCGAAGGTGGGAGGGCTGGGAGGGCTGCAGGGAGGTCCTCGAGGGGTGGTGTTTACTCAAAATGCCGTTGTAAGGCGTGATGGGCTTCCGTTCTTCATGTTCCGCCCGACAGTCTCGTCCTTCTGCTACGCAATTCCTCATGTCGTCCCCGAGCGGCCTCCCCTGATGTCTTTCGACAGATACGATTGCACTCCCCCCCTTTTGCATGGCCGGTATAGCACTAAATGAAAACAACCCAACCCTAGAGGGACATCAGAGGATGAACAAGGAAATCCTGCAGGTCCGGAAGCCAGAAAGCTCTCAAGGCTTGAAGAAAGCAGGCATGCCAGGATCACGCAAGTCTGAGGTCGCAGCACCAGCCAAATGTAGCAACCCTCGCACTCCTTTCTTGGAAGATTGCAGCCACCTTTTCAGCTCTCGTGCTCCCGCGGGAGAGGCCACGTCACAAGCCAAAGCCTGCACTTCAAGGCTGGATTGCTGCAGCCACGCCCAGTGTTGCCCAAGTTCTGGACCAGGGCATCCGCTTCTGGAGAACAATAGAAACGACTTCGCACCCTCCTCCGCCATGGCTTTTGCCGTGGTTAGTCCCAAAGCACCCAACCCACCAGACAGCAAATAGCTGGCTTCCGGCCACAGCTTCATGCGATGTGGCACGGTAAGCACAACTTTGCCAATGTGCTGGGCACGTTGCAGGAAACGAAGAGCTTCTTCGCCTTTGCCTAGTCCTTCAAACACGTGCATCTCCAGCGGCTTCCATGAACCTAAGAAGGCTTTGCATTTCATGAGTTGATGCACATGCTGCAAGCCATGTGCAGGTGAGCGGTCTGAGAACCCAGCCTTGCAGATCTTGCTCAAGCCGCTTCAGCAGAGCTTGGAAACGGTCAGGTTCATTTTCGCAAACAGCGTCGATGGCAAGCTGGCAGTACTTCACATCCGGGCGGACACTTGCCACCTTAGTCGGTAGATGGCCTTTTGCCTTTCAAAGCTCTGCTGGCCCATCTGGCCCCCTGCCAAACCCAACCCAATCCTGTCCCGGCCTTCTCCGGACTCCAGACATCACGCTTGCCAATCTCCACGAAGCGGCCGCCTCTTGCCAGAAGCCCCAGGCTTCGGCCAATGAAATTGTCGTGGCTCAGCGAGTTGAGCACGACGTCAAGTCCATCTGAGCCCTGCAACAAGAAGAGAGACAGTCGGTCTGAAAGCTGCCATCGTGGCATGCCTACGACAGACTGCAGTAACTTGGATTTTGTGCAAACACACGTCTCTATGTGTGCAACTGCATTTCTCGACAACTGGAAACGTGAAAACCAACCCTCCTCCAGGAGAGTTCTCATTTCCGTCTCGAAGGACTCACCTCAAGCTCATGGGATTTTGAGCTTCTCGCAGCTGGCCAACAGCAAGAATGAGCCACATGAACCACTAGCACTAGCAGCTTCTTAGGCAAGCGGCCATTTCTCGACGAAGCAATGAACTTGACACCGATATCTTTCAAGAACTGCTTTTTCTCTTCGCGGCCGGCTGTTGCATAGACCTTCATGGCATGAAAACGATTGGCTGTTGCAGAATCAAGCTAATGCAGGGCACCTCCCTGTCATCACACAGAATATGAACCGCCAATGCTATTTCGCCGCCTCCGCTCCAAGCCTTTGTGCATATTGGACGGCTACCAAGCCCACTCCACCGGTCGCAGCATGGACCAGCACCTGCACGGCAAAGAGGAGCCAGCAAGCTCGCTGTCTTGGCGTTCTATCGATCATCTCACACCGCCAGCATTGAAGGTCGAAAGACCAGTGTGATCTTATTTCTTCATGGAATTTTGCCAACTGTAGCAACAGGTTCCCATGCCGCTTCACGGGGATAAGGTTCAAAGGTGTCCAAGATGTGGGTGCTGTCGTTCCACGACTGTTCGTAAGAGGCCCTAGCTCATAAGGCCTATGCTCACAAGTTCCCTGTCTGCTTCATCGTCATCACTGATTTCGAAGACGACTGTTGTAGCTCTTGACTTGCTTTCGATTAGCGCGTGTCGGATCAAACGGTGGAAATTACTTTGTTCACTGTCAGAACACACAGCTGAAAAATTTTGTTGACCGAGTGAATTTTTGACAAACATGATGATACAATCTCAAGCATGTCACTCGGAGTCATTTATGAGCATGATACATTCGCAGGGCGTATTCAGAACGCTGAGTGTCGCAGGGTGAATACCTGAGACACCTACAATGCTCTTTGACCTGCCGAACGCGGACATGCCAAGCCGCTGCAAAGGGGTTTAAGATTCTCAGGTAACAAATGCGTAGCCAACAAGGCCAGGAATCTTCAACTTCTGGAGGATGCCTTCGCAAGACGTTGTCCGTGCCTTCTCCCCCTTCTGCAACTTGGCCAACTCTGCAAAAGCTACGTCAACGGTCGTGTAGACAGTCGGCAAAGCTGCAGCAGCACCTGGTGAGGCAACCAGCTATGCAAACCCCGAGCTGGAGAATTCTCGAGCGAGTGCCATGCCTGGCGAGTACTGACCAGGACGCGGAACCAGAAGCTGTCGCGGGGTGGTGGCCTGCAGACCAGGAGCTTCGAAGCCAAGGCTCAAAAATCGCGACAAGACTCATCTGATGCTAAGACCATGATGCACCAATGGATTTTAAGGTGCGCCTCTGTAGCTGTTACCCACTTGCTCGGAATGGCACTGAGGCCGGCACATATGTCTTGAGGCACCCCCAGACAATTCCAAAGGCATCATCTCCACAGCGCAATCCTGACCAAACAGATGAGTGCACAGAGGTAGCTTTGCGAACTTGCGGCCTTCAGAATTGCTGCCAGCGAGGTTCACAACCTCATGAGCTGCGACAGATGCAGACATGGCACAGCCAAAATCTAGGCGTTGTGCACGGCTCGCTGGGGCAAGGACGGTGCCACTGCAGTCCAAGCCGGGCTCGCCAGGATCACCTGGCTCAGACATTCAGTTACGAGGACGGGAGATGGAGCTGAGCGAATGAGCAAGGGCGAAAGGGAAGGGGAGGGGAGGGAGTGGAATGTGCTCAAGTTCGCCAGGGTCACCTGGGTACATACCCATCACCTTGGATCTTTTTAAACCTCCAAGTTCTAAATTGAACATGCAGCTGCAGATGGAATCGAGGCAAATCTCATGCAGGAACAAAGTCATTCCTGCAAGATATGCTCTGAGCTAAGCAGCGTTGAGTACGTCCCGGAAGTTCAAACCGATGGCTTCCACGCGAACTTCCACTTCTCCGTTCTGCGCTGCAGGCCTGGCCTTCCTGGGAGCTGCAGACTCTGCACATGAGTTGAAGACAACAACAAAAAATCAACTGCCATCTCCCACTGCAACCAGGCTTCTGGGGGATCGGGGACAGATTCTTCAGGCTGCCACGAGAGGGCATGTGCAGCGCCAGTGGCCACGTGGGCTTCAAGTCATGACGCCCCAAGCGGGCGGCAAGCACAGTCGAGCGATGCACAAGGGCCGCTTCTGCACATAGCCAAGGTGACAAGTCCACACAGCTTGAGTTTTGCCAGTCCCGGCCGTTGAGGTCCACACAAGTTACTCTCAAGTCTGGGCTCTCCATGCTTGCAGACCTCGCCAAGCCCCACAAGCCTCCAGGGACGTTTCATGAAGTGTTGCGACATCATTTGTGAAAAGCCAAACGGCCTGCATGATCAGGGGCGTGTTGCTGCACGGACATCTCAGGTGGCTGTACCCCACCTGCCGTCATCTCAATCCGAAAAATGCTGACTTCACTACAGTTTGTGATGTCCAGCCTGTCACGAAGAGCAATCGGGGCGAAACTGTTGAGGCCAACGCTGCTTGCAGCAGCTGCAGCGCAGTTTTCAGCACATATAGCTGCTCGCCCAAACCATCCAGCACAACCGTGCCGATGCTTCCAGCCTTCAGCACACGGCAGGGCAACTCTCTCAGGATCACATGAGATCGATAATCGCCACGAAGCCTTGATAGAAGACACGGCATCGTCAACAGAAATCACACCTCGGCATGGGACTGACCTGTCAACACCCAGAAAACTTGAGCATCATCTTGTGCCAGTCTCAATTGAGAAGCAGACCAACAGCAACATCGGCAAATCCGATGCGTTCTGCCAAGTCTTTGCTGCGCAACGAGTCTCCTGCGCTCTACTCCCAGATGTCACCGGCTGCTTCGCACTTCCCTAGCCTTATAAAGCAAACTGGGGTTTTGGAATTTTGAAGTGTGCACAGCGAGCAACCGGGCCATCAGCAACATAGGTTTCCCTAGCTCTGATGTGCGTAAGAAAAGGAGGAGTTGGACCAAAGGAGCTTCTTGCACGTTGGCAGCCCCGCTAGCTTGTTCCAAACTGGACCGTTCACTGCCAGCCTGTGAAGTTGCACGAAGGTAGCAGGGAAGGCCTGTGCGGTCTGTGAGAGCATGTGAGAGCCAGTGCCACGCCAATTCGGCGCACTGCGCTGCTCAGTGTACTCTACGACGGCCTAGCCTAATCGCTGACTTTATACAGTACCACCCCTGCAAACAAACGCCTTCGTACAAACACGTTCCTTCCAGGTTGTTCGGGGTTGCGGTCAAAACATGACCAAACAACTTTAGCTGTGCCCTGTGGATGTGGTGTGTGAGCGCGGGTTCGTCGACGAGGGCTCGAACACCTTCGTTCCTGATGATTTGTGCCAAACAGCGGCCACTTAGCCAACATTTTTGGTGGTCACTTCGCAAACCCGAGCCCCCGCATCAAACAGTCACTTAGCAACAGTGTCTGCGGTCACCTCGCGATTTCGCTGACATGCCTAGAAATGTCAAGAGTTTTGCGCGGCTCCTGATGACACCAAGGCAACCGGAGCTGGAAGGGATGTCATGTTGTCCTCCCCTCTGCTGATGTTGACATCTTTCCATTGGACATGATACCTCAGGCTCAAATCTGAACTGGTCACTCCTGATGGAGAAAGTCCTAGGTCCCCCGCAAACATTCAGAAGACTCCTCTGCAGTGTGCATGGAATGCTGTGTGAGCTGGGACTTGACCTGGCCAGCGCAGCTTGCACTTGAAGCCACATGGCTGGCTTTCAAGACTTCTGCATGGACATTCGCTTCATGACGGACTAAAATCCACGAGTTGCTGTCCCAGCGGCTTGGCCGGATCGACGGCAGCTGGCAGCCTCCAAACATGCAACCACCTGCCCCTCAGAGCTGAAGATCTCAATGTCTGCCACAACTGCCGTCTCCGTTCGCTCCTTGCAGCTAGATCATGATAACTAAAGCTAGGAGCAAACCAACAAAACCCAAGAACTCATGAACAGTTGCGAACAGGGTCCTGAACGCGCACACCAGCCCAAAGCTCTCTGGAGTGGCAGTGGACAGCCAGAGTCGTGCGTCGCACTGAAAACGGAAGGTAGAGGGCCTCTTGATCACCGTGCCGCCCTCTTGCAGCAAGCATGACCAGCAGTTGGAACGCACCATCAAGCACAGCTGGATGCAACAACTGCATCTTATGCTCCCATGCCTGCGCTGAACCGACAACACAGGGGTCACATAATTGAGCCACTGCCACCTCATCTGAAACTAACGTCACATTTCGCAATGTACGAAATGACTCTCCGTAGCTGAGCCCTCGCTCAGTAAATGATGTGTATAGCTGGCTCACATCGGCTCTGGATGAGTTCTGCAGGTGAGGTGAACGATGCCACTTGTCGAGTATTCCGGGCGTCTGCTCCATGTTGGGTAACATTGCGGAGGCCCCAAAGCGAGCATGAACAATTGTGCTGCTCGGGGCAGCTACACCGATGCTGCAGATCTCCGTGAGTTCTGCTGATGCATGGCAGTGGATCTTCGTCACTTTGGAATCTGGAACAAGGAATGGCACCTCGAAGACTGCGTCAGAAAGTCTCACTGCTGCATCCGCCCGTACAGTTTCTGCAAGCTGGATGTGCGAAGCTGCTGCAAGGAGCAGGTGGCTTGCACCAGGCAGAACGATCTTGTCAGAGACACGATGCTGCTTAAACAGCTGCATCATCTGGCTGTCGAGATCCAGAGTGGATTCGAATGTCGCAGTTCCGCGGGCATCCACACGTGTCTTGCACCCCAGCCTCAGTCTTGAGCAGTGATGAACGAAGGGACATGCTGTCTGTTTTTTCACTTGCCTTGCGTGTGCTTGCCTCAACTGGATGTGCTTGGACTTCCCAATAATTATTCACAGGTGCAGAGGATGAAGAAGCGGTGAGCGCCAGGAAAGCGACTGCGGCGTCAATTCTGAAGGTCGGTTGAAGGCAATGCCCAAGGCACGTGAAGACGTAAGTATGCTGTCGACTTCATCTCCTTGTGCGTTTGGGACTAGACAGATGCTGCTTGAGCACCCTTTCTTACCACACTCCTTGGACAAAAAAAGAGGCTTCAACGCAACACCAGGCATCTTCCAGGCTGAAGAGAGGACAGCCATTGTAACTTGTCAAGGTCTTTGCCAGCCAGGTCTGCCAAGCAGCGACGACCCATCCTTGTTGCAGGTTTACACTTGGCAGGTCTTCCTCTAGCTAGCGAAATCCAGCTGCCTCACAAGGACAGGCTGTGGCCCGATTTCCAAGTAGGCCTGTCAATCTCATGCCATCTCACAGTTGTCCCAGGATGGATCAGAGCAGCAGCCCCCGCAAAGCAGGCCAGAGTTGCATCACATCCCAGGCGGTGAAGCTCTGACATGCCTAACAACTTCGATCTGCATACCCTTAGACCTAGCTGCATCACAACTCGCGGTGATCGCGGCCTTGGCTGAAGAGCACCGGCTTGGCTTCATCATGGCCTGGGTCACGAGCAGTGTACCCGAAGCTCTGCACCAGAAATGGAAATCGAAGGGCGTCGCCTAAGAGCAACATCGGACTAGCCTGAGACTGCCACTCACCCAGTAACTGGGATCGCACAGCGCGTTGGACACTTTGGTGCCCGCCAGGCTGGAGATAAAAGCAATTTGCTCGCAGGGCGGCTGCAACCTGAGGACGATGCTCATCCCAATGCCAAGACGCACTTGACAGCTTGCTTGGACTCCTCTGGAAGCCCTCTTCCCGACATGTGGGGCATTCCAAACATGATCAAGCGGCTGGCACCCCTCTATTGCCTTGCGCAGCTCTGGCAGGATTGGCGCCATCAGGGGTGAGTGCATCGCATGAGGAATGTTAAGCCTCATCAGGTGAATAAAGCACGTCTGCTCATTCCCGTGCCAAACTGTTTCAGTACATCCTCATGAGTATCCTGGCAAATGCCTGTTGACGACCTCTGCGACAAGAAATAAATAGAACAAGGCTCCCTACAGAAGAAACACGTTGCCAAGGGATCTCCTAGCAAGCTTTGCCAGGAAGCATTTTGCTTTGAGCTGCCACTTTCTGACACACTCGCCTGAGGCAGCACATGTAGCTTTCTACATCTGAACGAACCACACTCCCCAGCTGCTGCTGTTGCTGCTGCTGCTGCCATGGTACAGCACCGCCTCTTTGTGACCAGAGACCACCGTTTGCAAAGGACCATTGACTGCCTCATGCTGCACATACATCCACAACAACTTGCAGCCATCCGCAAGAACACCTGGGCACCCCACAGCAATGACTACAGTCTCGTCATTCACTTCATGCTGCAAGTCGGTGACCACCTCTGCTCCACAAGTAGTACAATGTTGCATCGGTTCGATTCGAACTGGCGTGCCTTCTCGACGTCTTCTACCGAGGCAAAGATTGCTGCCATTGCGCCGATTCCTGCGAAAAGCCAGACAGCCCTGTTTATGCCAGGAGAAACTGCTTCAAGTGCTAAAAAAAATGTCCTGGCTTGCACATCTCATCGATGAGTTCCGCACGTCTGGTGACCAGTCGCAATGCGACCTGCAAAGACATTGTTCCTGCCAGCACAGCAGCCGCATACTCGCCAACCTTAGTTGAAACTCCACGATCGCAAACTCTCGCAAAGATTGGTGGAGCTGGTTTAACCTTACAAAACCTGACTCGACCCCTAGGTGTAAGAACAAGCGGGGCTTGCAGGCAACACATACTGTAAAACCCAAAGTCCCTCTATTGTGAATCTCCAAACGCATTTGGCAAATGAAGTGCATGCTAATACCACCCAGCCACACTGTGACCGAAGACAGCATGTGGACTGAGACCTCGTGCCTTCCACATCTCGCTGAGTGCGTACTCCAGCACGAAAATCGCTATCTGCGATCGGGCAGTTGACCTTACAAACAAGGCTTTACATTGCGCCGTGAAGGTCAAACAATACTCTCCAAGCCACCCCTCGGCAGGGATGCCCAGCTCATGTGGTGCAAAGAGCCACTCTCGAAGATCCTTGGCACCATGGCAACGTTTGATGGCAAAGGACATTCCTCAGCACCAAGCTTTAATCCAATTCCGACCTGTTTTCATGTGTGTAGCTACGTGAAGTGAAGAACTCAATCTCCAAGGTGTTCGACAAAATATGAATCAATGCAAGGCGTCCTGGATCTGGTGTCCCTCCAGGGCCTCCAGAACTTGCTCGCAACGATCCAGCGCAGCACGGAAAGCATCCTCAGAGTGATCGACCTAATCCTAGAGGAGCATTTTAGGAGAACCCAGCCCTGAAAATCTTGAATCTGAATCCAGAGTACTGTAGAACCTAGCAGCGTGGGCCAGACTGTCAACATCCGTCCAGGGTGCATGGTGATTTGGTTTGGAATGCTGTGCATCTCCAATCTCCCTTCAGCCTCTGGCCTAAAATGCATCTTCGAAAGAAGTGTGGAAGGCATTCAATTGGTGAGTTGCATTCAAATTTGGACCCTCCGCCAAACATTCCAAACCTCAGAGGCCGTGGAACAATCAAAATCCGAGAGTACGAGTTGTGCTTCCATGGAGAAAATCAATGTCTTCTAAGAGCGTGTCTTCTTGGCATCTTCATCAGCATGCTCACGATGAGCGTGAATCGCGTGAACATGCATGCTCTCCTTTGGAAGGGACAAGGAGAAGAAAACAATGTTAGCATCTGAGCATCGTCTGTCTTGTCCAGCTGTCTACCCATCTCTGGCAGCTGGGAACCTTGACCTGGCCGTGCATCGGGCCACAAAGCTCACGCAAAAGAGACTGCCCCTGCTGGGGAGTTGCAAGCCTGTGAAGAGGAAGGCCACCCGCTTCGGCCACGGTGGTCCAGTCCCTGTGGCATCTTCCTGTCGTGTGTCGTAGACTATGCCTAGAGGCAAGAACCTCGGCATACGCAAGGCCTGAGATGTCCCAGTGACTTGGTCGAGGCGCGAAGTGTCCTTCACATTTCATCCATCTCCCTTGGGCTGTGACTCAAACTGACACAGAGCCGATCCTCTCCACCGTTCCGAGCGGGCATCAGGAGCCTCGTGCTGCGATGTATCTTTAAAGTAGACGCCATTGCTAGACGGCGCGATGCTGATGCAAGCTTGCTGTCCAAGCTGCGCGTGAGTGTTGGTGCCGCCAAAACCGAATGAAGACACTCCCATGCCCAAAGTTGCCTGACAGTTTGGTGGCCCAAGGCAACCGGCACGTTACACGAGGAACATGACCCTCAAAACGAAATTACACCAAAAACCGTTGCACCTCACTCGACAAAGACAGTTCGTCGGTCGGCACGTTGAGACGGGAGTTCTCAAGGAAAATGTGCGGATTGAGCTCCTCGTCCACGTTTCAGACATGCACCGGGGTTCACTACAAGTAGTCACTTTGGCCGGTCCTGAAAGTGGATGTTTGGAGGAACTTCTTGGTGTCGCAGACAAGACACCACCTCATAAGACAAAAGGACGAACACAAATCCAGCATCACAATGTCGACACACGAAGAGGAAGAACACCAACATTGAGATCAAAGCCTTTGTCAGGCCAGCCAGGCCTGGCGATTGTGCTGCTGAACTCCAAATCGCTAGGTGCAAACGCAGCAGCGATCTGCCTGCCGCCCCTTCTAAGTGGCCATGATTCGATTTTCCAGCCTGCATGCACACGCACAGAAGGAGTTGCATTGTTCCTTGCATCTGCGGAGTTGCCAACAAGAGGCTGCCAAGAAAAGCGGCATGCTTTGCTCCAACCTTAGCCGGCACCCCCAGCTACATGTCTTCCTATGTCTATGACTGTGCTCCGTGACCCGCAGGTGCAAAGCATTAAGCTGGCTAGATTTGTTCAGTCTCTTGCCAATTCCACCAAGAGGCTCTAATACTGCCTTGATAGCGCCAACTTCGATGGGATCTCCCAATGCAGTGCCGGTTCCATGACCTGGAAGATTGCTGCTGTCGCCGTGTGTCTGGCTCACGCAAGTGTGGATCAAAGGCAACAGCAAGTGAGCCCCTCTGAACTCTGAACCGCGGCAGCACAAACGGCAGCCAGAGTATCTTGCAATGAGGCTGCGTGACTGCTTGCAACATTGTAACAGCAGTGTTGCAAGGCTGGAATCTAGAATGCTAGACCCCAAGACTGACAAAAATCGGGTCATCCAAGGCACATTCGATAGCACCTAGCGCCAGTGCAGAAATCCGCCCTTCGCGCAACACCTCGCGCAGCAGATCCTCCTGACGTGGACCTGAGGATATTCTGTTCACGTGATGTTCGATGCAGCAGTTCAAGTTGATGCCCAGTATCTGTTCAGAGTCCGACAGTTAGATGCATGTTCACACCTGCACGCTTCGTTTGCACAGCCTAGTGAATGACTCGAAAATTGAACACATAGCCTAAGCAGTAAGAGGATTGTGTGCTGCTTGGACTTCTCATGCAAATAAGACTGGACATCACAGCTAAAATTTGTTGAGCCTCGTGAAATTTCGAAACAGTGCTATGACATTTTCAACAAGCATATTCCATGCAGGGAGCCATTCGGAGCAGTCAGAGTCGCGCTTCTCCCATCCTGGTTCATGACCTTACAATTGATCCGTCTTGCTCTGTGCAGCAGTAGTCGTCTGTCTGCGACCAAGCCACCACCGCACGCACCTGCTTCGAATTGACTCATGCACTTCAACTCACATGCAGGTGCGGGCTTCACAAACTTCGCAGTCTTTCCAAAGATGCTCTATCACAGCCGGATCGGCTCTCCCGGATGTCTGAAACACAAGCCGCAACAACAGTCACACGTATCTTCAGTGAGCTGAACACCCCAAATCATTTTGGGTGTACGGTTTAGGGAGCTCCTGCAAACTTAGAGCCAGACAGTCTGAACTTCAAAACAACCTCTCGGGGTGGCGGTTTAGGATTGATTTAGGGTGGCCCCAGAAGAACCCCGAGGAACTGAACCACATGCTTCAACCACAAGTAATGTACAGTCAAAAGTACACCCGCATGCCGCAGCTGTGCTCCAAATTCACATGGATCAAGGGTGGGCTACATTCGAAGCGTCGGGGATGCCTCTGCTGCCATCTGGCATCGTCCGTTTTCTGCATCAACCAAAGACTTTAGTAGCATGGCACCAGCGCCCTCGCCGCGTATGTACCCTGCGTCCAGCAGGGTGGCAAAACATGAGAACACAGCTTGACACGAGTGTAAAGCATTCCCTTCGTCTTGCCGTCAAAGCACCATCGGCAGTTGCGTTAAATGTCTTGCAGCGCCCATCGCGTGAAAGCATGTTGGCAGCGGAACGCAGCACAAAGCTGTTGGGCCCATGTAGCACCTGAGCTGCTTCACCGTCACAGCCCTGTACACGCAATGATGGAAACGCCGAAACTGGAATACCAAGCAAGTACTGCATCTGCCTCAGCGGAAGCCAGCAGTGCTCCGCCGCCGAGAACACCAGATCGTTGGCCCTGGAACTCCGCACTTCAAACTCTGTGCGTTGTGTTTAACCACCTAGAATCTACCAAAAGCTTCTTTCCGGCCCTGTCCCCTTCATACCCTTCTGTTCGTGTAACTCACGTCCAAAACGGCTGTCCGCCCTTCCTCCAGGCACCGCAACGCCGCATGGAGTGCTGATATCGAAGATGAGCAAGCAGTGTCAATCTCAGCAGAGCATTGAAAAAGAATGCATGGCAAGACCTACTAATGCATGGCTTCCTCCGCACTTCTGAGACGAGGGCTGTCATACTCGGCCCTGTGAGGCCGAAGATGTAGCCTTAAAACAAGAAGAACAAGTATGGCAAGCATCTCATCCAGCGATGCTGTTCTGTTCTTTCTGCTGCCGGAACACTGATGCGGTTGGCGGCCATGCCGCATGAAACTCCCGGGCCAGTGTAGACTCCAGCTTGCGGAAGGGCCAGCTGGTACCAATCCAGGTTGCTCAAGGCTGCGAAGACACCCTTAGCACAAGCCGTTGCATATCACTTGTTGCCGAAAAGTCAAGCACGGGAACTGAAGGAGTCTTCCCGAACTCCTTCCCTCCGTTGCTCCACCCCTGCTGACGAGTGCGACCCAAGTACTTGGAGTGATAAACGACTTGTAGCCCAGACAACCCGTTTCTGCCCGGGATGACCCCGAGCTGGCCAGCAACAAACTACTCCTTTCTTGGTGCGCGTCTTTCTGGCCAAGGTGCCATGGGAGTGTTTTGCAGGAGTCCCTTGTCATATCCTAGGCTGTCAAATCGCATTATGCATGTGGGCAGCAAGCAACGTCAGCCTCATTCCCTCAGAATCTGTACAGTAGCTGTCGCCTCTGATTCGTATCACCAAAGCTAGCACAACACAATTCTGCAAGAAGGCCATCGGCGTGAAGCGCATCGTGAGCAGCATTGAGAAGAAGTCTCTGTTGCGGATCTGTTGTCTTGGCCTTTGGGTGTGCTTCAAGTTCGAGCCAAGCAGGATGCTCTTACATCCACAACCGTCATGTTGCCGGCCTCGGCCGTGCCAAGTCCAAAGTAAGTCAGGTCAAAAAGCTCCGCACCCTTGTCATGATGGGTCAATTGGAGAGAACCACTCGAGGCTTTTACACAGCATCCAGACAGTGTGGTGTGATGTCTTGACTGGGCCTCGATGAAGCCGCCATGACGTGCATATGTCTTTCCTTGCTGGTTCTCTTCGCAGAAGTACAGCTGATGGTCCCAGCCTACCAGACAGACAATGCATTCTAGAAACAGATGCATGGCAATCTCAAAACAAGCTGTGCGTCAGGCGGGAGAAAGGAACTTCGATCACTGAATCGTGTTTGCTTGCCAATGCTTCTCGAAGCTGTGACACACCTTCACAACAACGTGCATGTGCTGTGGCATGTTTACTGAATTGCATACCCCGTTGGAAAGACTCCTCCCCGCCAAGCCGCTCCCAGAACCACCAGGAAACTCACAAGCTGTGGAGACAATGACCTCGGCGAAAACACCCTCTATCACAGCCATGCTTGGAACGGCAAGATGCACAATCATTCCTGAGTTTGCGAGAACGTTGTTGATCTTGGTGCAATCAGGGAGCATGTGCAAATCTCCGAGACAGGTCTAGTCCGTCGGGCACTTGCCCTTCATCAGCATCAATGGTGGCAGGACCACCAGGCGATGCAGTGCGTGGCAGCAATACGTTATCCACAATGTCCTTGGAAGCAAAGCGAGCACTCAAATTCAGTATCAGTCTGCAGCACGAAACTCTTCAAGAGATGAACAATGAACACAAAGCACGCCATGGAAGCACATGAGACTCTATGCGGTGCCTAGATAAGGACCTTTCACAAGGAAAGCCCAGCCTCCACCTCGCAACAAAACAGTCAACCGAAAAGGCGACACTACAACGCTGTGAAGGCACACCTGAAGCTACATGAAACGTACTACGGGTCCCATTTCCTTTGAAAGCTCTGTGTCAGACAATGGAGTGGGCCGTGAATTCCAGCAGCCTCTATAGCATGACATCAGAGGGTTGTTCTAAAGGTCCGTGTCTTCGGCTTATACAAACCCGGCTGTGACAACACTTTTCCGCAAAAGCTTATCAGAACACCACATGATTCAATCAGATCCAGCAGCTGCCTGCCGGCTTTGAGTGCTTGTGTGAGCCTTGATCCTGCTTGAATCCTGAAACCTGATGAGGCCAGAGTTCCTTTTTGTCTGGTTGCACCACGAGTTTACTCCTGGAGAGCTGTGATCTCTTCAACCCGACTAGCCCGCAGGGGTTGTCCTTGCTGGGCTTAATTTTGACGTGCAGAAGTGTCGCTTTTAGCAGAGTGCAACAAAGACTCCAGGAAAGCTCAGGCGTGTGTTGTTGGGAGGCTCCGAAAGCTGGCAAGAATGAGCATCTCGTGTGTTGCATAAGTCCGGCTTCGACGGTCCTGATGTTAAAGACCCACGACCAAGTGGTATAGATGCGCCGTAAGCCACATAGCCTAGACCTTTTACGAAAGATACGGCAAAACTTTCTTTTGCATTTTGGACGATGGTGCCAAGAGCATGTGCAAATATATGAAAATCTAAGATGTACATGCACTTAAAGCTTCGCAAAAGTTCCGCTTGATTAGGCGCGAAAGGGAAATTTTGAAAACAGTTTTTACACGAAAGTTAGCACTATCCCCTTGTTTCCCTTTGAAGGTAATGTTGAAACCTCCCAAAAAAAAACCTGCAGTAATGCTCAAAACGCTCTGGGCAGACCCTTCTGAATCCTACAGATCAACACGAATTGTGTCGTTGGCACATCTCTGTGACGGATTGAGTTTGTGCTCCCGCCCTCTACCCTCGAACCTGTTTCGCGATTTCGTTGCTGCATTGCTGGTGTGCACTGTCACATGGTCCTTTGCATCTTTCCTTTTGCCTTCGTCGAGTCCCTGGGCACACTCTCTGAACTATCTACCAGACCAAAGGCTAACGTGCTCTCCAAGGGCATGCACTTGCCGAGATGCAAGAAATAACCGCTCATCATGCATGTCAGAATCCGCAGATCGTCAATCACTAACATATCTCCGCACGGCACGTCGATCGTAAGGTGGTCGAACAGCAAGGTAGGCTTCAAGTTGAGCGTTAAACGCTTGAGGTGCATGATGATACACGCAAATAAACAGACGCCAGCAAATTGTCTTGCACCTTGCGACTCGAGAATGCTTGAGTGTAGCTATCAAACCATGCAGCCTGTTGAGCGTCTGCACAAAGCGCACCGCACCCGCTGAATCCACGACGCCCAAATCAAGTAGACGATGGGGCACCTTGGACGACAAACCGCAACTTGCAAACATGAGCACATGGTCTCATTAGCCAACTGCCAAGCTATGGACCTGGAAGATATCGGCGAAAATGTCCTGCAAGACGAATGAATGCAAGAGTACTAAATTTCTGCATGAACACGAATGCAAGAGCCATCCTTCAACAAATCCACAAGAGACTGCCGGGAAGTGACACCAAACATGCCATCGGTCGACCTGCACACACAACAAGATTCAAAGGCGGTCTGCCTTCTGCAACAAAGGTAGCATGGCCTCAGTGCCATCTGGCCCTGACTGACAGCTCGCGCCCAGAAGTAAATGTTTGAAATGCTCATGCTGTTCGTAAGCATGTGTCATGGTAAAAATGTCTGCGCATTGTATCTAAGGCGCCACCAAGTTTCAAAAAATGGCTGCGTGCGCGGGCCGTTCTTCTACACGCACACCCTACATTGCTTACCACCGATACCAATGCCAGCGTGTCCAAAAAAGGATCACTTTAGAAGGCTTGGTGACAGCATGCCGCGCAAAACATGCACCTGATTTACGACGACACCTGCCATACTCTCAGTGCGCGTGATTTGAATAATGCAAACTCTTCCAGGTGGAAGAACTGCTGTAAAGCATTTGTGCCGTCGGCTCTTACTTGGGTTCGGTAGCGGAGCTTCGGTGAGAGAGCTGCTCCACGAGTCACAAGAGCGTCCGGTGGAGCCAAGGGCAGAGATCGAGAGCAGAGCTTTTCTTCTTCGGTTTCAGTGTTTGGGCGCCATTCTCTGTGGCGCTGACTTTCAAAGTCTGACAGTATGGCCACCGAGCAGGCCTCACAGTCGTCTGCCTCTGGAGGTCAAAGAGGAAGAAGGCTTTTGGAGGGACCGAGATGCCTCACCACCATATGATGGACGGCGACCTGATCAAACCTTTGAGAAGTGGCAGGAAAAGCTTGGACCTTGGGAGCTTGGGACGGAAGTCTCCAAGGAAAAGTCGGGAGTCAAGATCCTGAGACAACTCTTGGGACCAGCAAGGGCGGCAGCTGAGTCTTTGTCGTACAGAAACAACTTGGTCAAGGCTTTGAAAGGGCACTTCGCTTCCACCTGGAGTCTTCGCTGCACCGAGTGTTCGAAGCGGCCATCTACCCGCGAGACCTTCGGCGACTGCGTCATACGGATGGAGCATGCGGCTAAGGAGCTGCAGCGCCAAGGTGTGAAGCTGGGAGACATAGTTCTTGGCTATGTTATGCTCCGGAGTGCAAATCTTTCAGAGTACCAGGAGAACCAGTTGTTGACCTGGGGTGAAGGAAAGTACGACGGGGCAACGGTTGTAAGAGGGCTTCGCAGGCTAGATAAGAGTGTTCACGAGACCAAGAGAAAGAACACTACGCATCTTCTTGAAGATAGTCATGCTGAAGATCCAGACCTGCCCGAGGAGGAGAACCAGGAAACCTTGTGGGAGCTCAGCCCGGCGACTTCGACGAGGATGACAAGGACGATGACTACGTCTACATCGGAGAGGGAGAGATGCAGGAGATGTACGATGAAGAGCATGTCCAAGAGGCTCTGGCCACCTACCAGGACGTCAGAAGATCGTTTCGCGAACACAAGAACAACCGCGGCTTTTATCCTCGAGGACGAAGCCGCTCTGGAGATACGGGAAGTTTACAAGGAGGCCGGAAAGTCCACTCTGGGGCTCAAGGGCAAAGAGGCGGTCAAGTTCGCAAAGGGTGGCACAAGAATCCATGTAGACATGCTGAAGCTGCGGACGAGATGCGCTCGATGTGGAGCAATCGGGCACGGGGCAAAAGAATGCCAGCACACCCCCGATGCCAGAGGAAAGGCGGCAGCTGCTGCCCTTCGCAGCTTTTCGAGTACCCCATCGTCAAGTGCACGTTCGGGCTTCTTTGTCAGATCTGAGGGAGAAGCAAGCCTTCACAGCTATGCAGTCAAGAATGTGAAAAACAAGGAGCGCGACTACCTGCCTTACCTGCCCACGAGAAAATCAATGGTTTCCCTTAGAATCAGATGGCACATCAGGAGAAAATCAACGGCACCCATCAGAATCAGGAGGCACACCGGGAGAAAATCGATTTTTTCGTTCAGAATCAGAAGTCACACCAGGAGGTCCTTTTTGATGTTGTTGTGGGTCGTATACTGCAGAGAGTCAGCACGGTGGGTCGTTTTTGACTTTAGGTCAGGTGTCTCGGATTGAGAAGTACGCTGGCAAGCTGCTGGCCCAGAGTGACTACCCAATCGTGTCCCTGGAGTTCATCAAGAGGTTTCCGTCTATCCGTGCCAGACAAAGGGGTGCAACCTCGTCTTCGGGTTGTACGTTTATGGGAACCAGTGTGGTCTGACCAACCGGTTCCAAGGAAAGGGCAGGATCCAGGAAGATGCCTTGGGGACTACTTTCGCTCTGGGATGCTGGAGCAAATCCTCACCGAGACGTCAACAACCGACCGGGCTCTCGAAACTACGTGCTTGGCTTTGGCAAGTACAAGAATGGAGAGGTTTGGAGACAGACCGACTTTAAGGGGAAAGTTCGAAGACGGAGTGGAAGGCTTTGCCGAACGGCCAAAAGATCTTTTGGCGTGCAGGATGAATGTGAAGAACAAGATATGCATGAATCGGAAGAATGTACTGGAACCCGATATCTCCTCAGCGCCCTTGCCTCAAAAGCTTTGGATGAGATCGAGTTGGAGAAGACAAACCAGCTCAAGGACCTTGGATTCTCCGTTTCGAAGAACCAGGCGATGTATCGGCATGATGGTAACAACGACGGCCACGGCGGTGTTCCTGTAGAAATCTATGCTGAGGACGAACAAGGGGGTGATGGTGATCTGGTCTAGTCTTCCACGACTGTTCACCAGATGCAACCGAGTTGAAAGGGATGCTGTGAAGGAGTGCAAGTGTAAGGTGCGGGGCCAAAGCAAAACCAAAGGCGGCGATCTTCTAAGGAATCTCAAAAGTGTTGACGCTCGCTATGCTTGGTGAACGTTTGGGTCTGGAATCCAAGCAAGTGAAAGACTTCTTCCACACAACTGGTGCCCTGATGATGGGCTCTCTCAGGGCTTCGAATTGGCTGATCGGGGCCGCTACTGTGGCATCTGAACCTGCGTCAGCAAAGACTTTGAACCTCATTTAGTCTCCGGAAACGATCTTGATTTTCGCTTGAACCCTGGCAGTTTCTGCCTTGAAGGATGATTTTTCATGTTTCAAATAATTGCTATGGAATATCATGCTGCCGAATTCTGCTCTAGCTTCATTTTTGGGTCTACACTTAAGGGCCGGTTCGATGAAGC